ATTTTTTGGTTGCAGCCATCATTGTTGTTTGGCAGGTCCGGGCTGGATTCGAATCCGCCACCTTAGGTGTATGTGGCTGGCGCCTTAGCCGCTTGAACCACAGGCGCCGAGCCCCAACCTTCCAATTTTTATGGAGGAAAATGAAACAATAAAATTGGGTCCTCCCAGGGAAGTTAACAGGGTTCCCGGCTCCCAGTGTACGCCCACTTCCACCTAGGGAATCTTTGCTTCATCTTTCTCCTCCCAAATGGGTCTTATTCGTCTGAGTCAGTGGGAAATGCGAGTGTGGATTGCAGAGCTGGCTGCACGTGGGAAGGCTCAGCCTGAATGTGGCTGTGTTTGCAGGTGCACCAAGATGTCCCTGGTGGCGCTCCCCTTCTACCAAAAGAGACACAGACACTTGGATCAGTCATATCGAAACACTCGAGCAAGGTACCTGCTGGATGAATACGCTTCAAAAAGGTGAGTTGACAAGCGCCGACCAGACTGGCAGAGCTGTGGTTCTGAGGTCCAGTGTTAAGCTCTGTCCTGGGCCCTGAGGAGGCACAGGGCTGGCAGGAGTCTGAGAACAGGGTGGCAATGTCCCCTGCACCCACATACTGTTGTATTCCCGGCATCTGAGAGAAGGATGGACCCCACTTCAGGTATAATTAGGTAATGGAAATTTATTGATAATTTGATACACCTGCAGGGGGCTCTTGTGGTGGGCCAACAGGAAGCTTCGAATAGCGGGGGAGAAGGATTTGATACCATTATTCTGCATAGTCATGGTGGCTAGCACGCTAGTGCAATACAGAAGCCAATCATAGCAGTTAAAATGGGGTCACAGGGTGGGGGTACATATTGATTCATACATCATAAGATATATCACCAGTACATTACTTCATGGTCATAAGATGGGGCAGGTCATAGGGGTTTACACAATTCAGGATGGAAGTACATGGTAACCTAGACATTAACTCATAGTTCAGGGGTACAAATTGGGTAACACCGGGGCTTAATTTGGAATCAACCCCTCCCTTCCTCAACCCCCCTCTGCATACTTCCTCAATTTCAGGCTGTTTCTCTACTCTTGAGAGGGCAGGAACTAAAAGGCTTAGGAGGGGTTTCTTTTTCTAGGGTAGGGGGCTTGTTCCCTACTGGTCTTAGGGAGGGGGTCAAGGGCTGGGGGCTTGGTTATTACAATACCACAGCAGCGGAGGAGCCACATGCTGTCCCGGCCCAGCACGGTCCATGGGGTTCCTTGAACGGCTGCACCCTACACAGAGATGGGAATGGCGGCCATTCCAAGCACGAACACGGTGATTTTACTCATCTCACATGCCTTCTAGACCCAGGGCTGAAAACGCACCAGAGACAGAGCAGTGAGAAGGAACGCAGGGGAAAGAATGCTGGCAGAGAAGGTGGCCTGGGCGCCGGGTTGAATAATGATTCTGCCTGGTTAACAGTGGGCATGTAATATGTGCTTCTATTCCCTGCCTGTGTGCTGGCACCTGACTGGGGTTCCCCCAGTTTCCAGAGGTCACCTGTGGCTCCTGCCACGCTGACACTGCTGTGTGGCCGCGTATTTCAGGTTTAACTTGTGATGGTGGTGAGGAGCTGCAGAGACCGTGGCAGCCTGAGCCTGCCCCGTGTCACCAGCACCCTATATTTAGAAACACTCTGGGCACTAGTATTAGTTGCCCTCCCTGAAATAAACAAAGCCAAACATTTGCAGCCCCTCCCAGCAGCCTCAGGGAGCTTCAAACCCCTTAAGATATATATAATCTTGGCCCTGGGCCAAAAGGACCTGGGAAGCTCTCCCAGGCTCTGAAGGGCAGTGGCTCTGGCCACAGTGGGCTTCTCAGGATGGTGCATGTGGGAGTGGGTGGACACGGACATACAGGGTTCGGGCTTGTTCATGTACAAGGGTACATGTGTGTGCTCACTGATGTATGTGTGTGTATAGAGACGTGTGCCTGTGTGTGCGCACCTGTAGGCATGCAGTCCCTGCATCTGTGCATTCATCTGTGTCCATGTGCCTGTGTGCACAAACATGTGCGTGTGGTGGGTGTGTGCACCTGCAGGTAGGTGCATGGGTGTAAGCACATGTGCACACACATGTGAGCGTGTTCTGTGTGTTGCAGGCATAGAGGGTGTGAGTGTGAGGACTGTGATGTGTGTTAGGATACATTTTCATCGTTTTCCACACATCTTTTCATTGTTTCACGGTTCATCAAGACGAACTTCGACCCACTCGTCTTCCCTGAAGTCCCTTTCTCAGCGGTCATCTTCACATAGAGCTTCCAGCCAGACGTCAAAGGGAGCAACCACGTGCAGGATCTGTGCGAAACGCCTGAGTGAGCTGGAGGAGGAGCAGCATGAACACAAGAGGTGCCTGTGGCTCCCGTGCGCTGGGGCTGGGAGCCAGGGGTGGGAGCTGGGGGGGCACCGGGCCACAGCCACGTGCAAGGATCATGACAATGCTGCTCCTCTCCACCACGGGCCCCCCTTCCACCACTGTCATCTCACCTAACACTGGCAGTCTCCCACACCCCTTCGCAGGGGAGAATGCTGCCAGCCAGAGTGCTCGTGGCCCCTGTCCAGGGCTCGCCCCTCTCGTGTGGCAGAGCTGGGATGTGATCTCAGGTCTCTATGTCTCTTTGAACCAAACTCACCATCTTTCCTGTAGAGCAGAATAATCACCCCTGAAAACCTCAAGACCGACAGTTCGGGGTGAACTTTGGATTTCCACTTCTAGCTTCACTAGTATTCCAGAGCAGCAAGGAAGGGCTGAGACCAAGGTCACCTTCCGAAGAGGGAGCCAGGGTTTTCAACAGTTGTCCGTGTGGAAACTGAAGAGTCGAGGAGGGATTCTATAAATTATCATACTTTACATTTCAGTGGAGTCAGCTCATGAGGGTGAAATGTCATAGCAATGAGATGGAGTAATAATAATGTCAGTCTCGAAATTATTTCCAGATGACAGAGAAACAGGTGATGATGTTACTTTGATCTTTTAAGGACAAAATTAACAATTAAATATTTGTGAATGTTTTATTTTATACCTGCTATATTTTCCCCTTTCATCTCCCCTTACTATCTCTTACGATCTCTAGGAAATTCTGTCAGGATCTCCAAAACACTTAGAAACTGGAGGAAAAAGGAGATTTGGGAAAACTTCATTTTGAAAGTTGCATTAGGGTGATGTAATTTGTTTAATAGAAACAATGTGTAGCTGAAAAGATTCACCCTTAGTTTTAAGAATTTGAATTATTTTTCAAATGCATTAGAAAGTAAATGAATTTTATTACGAAGATTTGTTTTGTAAAAGATCTATTCAAAATGTGGACATTAAAGCAACTTGGATTTTTATGTATTGGATTATTTTTAACAGGGCTCTCCTACCTATATTTAACTGGCACCAGTAGTAGGAGATTTGAGTCGAACCACTTTATCTTTGCCAACTGCAAGTGGTGTGATCTTGACTGTACTGCACAAATGTTTCATCCTCCAATTTCCCCACTGGTGAAGCAGTAGCTTGGGTGGACGGGGAGTGGTTACTGTAGTTCATACAGCTTTAGCAAGAGTGACTTTTCTGACAGCCCTGCTGCTGAAAATCTCCTAAAATACACAAGACTCTTGAAATAGCAAATCTGACTCTCGTCAGATGCTATCCCCTGTTGTAAGTGTCCCAGAGACAGGTGCCATGCTGAGGCCTGTGCCAGCGTGGAGCTGAGCCCACTTGGGTCTGGAATTAGGTATTCTTTTGAAGCCTCATAGGATTTTATTCTCCTAGCCCATGTGCATATCTTCCACCCAAAAGATCTTTTTGAAGTAAGTTCTTCCCTCCTTTTAAAGCAAGTGTAAATCTCTGGGGACTTCTATGCATTGGGTCAGAGTTAATTGAGTTTTATTTTAATGTCTGCTTTGTTTCTGCCAAGAACCAAGAGGGACCAAGCGAGTGAGATGGGTGGTTAAGTGAATTTTTGCTTTTACTGCTGTAATTCCGTACTCCTCACTAGCTTCAAGAGTTATTGCAAGCACTTGGTTATCTCTTCCCTCCCATGGCAGACGTTAGTTTAATGCACTGAACAAATCAGTCCTTTGTGAAGGATGAAATCGTGCTCATTGGCTTGAGTCACTGCTGATGTACTCTTGAAAAATAAACACCGAAGAGACAGGAGTGTGCTCTGAGAGTCTCCGCAGTCCTTCGGAGGTTATGGCCAATCAGAAACGTCCCTTGGACGCCTTCCCTTCAGCCTGAGTGAATCTCATGGGCTGTCCATCCTGGGATTGTCCTTTAGGGTAAGAGTGTGATGAATGACTTAATTCTGCTTGAGAGGGCTGGAGTCATCATCAGCCAATCATAGGATGGTAAGAATAGTTTCTCAATGTTCCATTTTGGGACTGGGGGAAAGGAATTCCAGAGATGGGATATTTATTCAGAATGAGTATTTGGAGATGGTGGCAAGACTGACCTGAAACTAAGCCGAGCCTTTGGTGATTCAAATATAAAGATGCGTGGAAATGCTTACGGCTTCCGCGGAGGACATCTGATCCTCAGCTCATCCCAGCAGTTTGGAGCATAAGCGGAGACTCATCCTTCCTATCCCTGTAATTGAGTGGGATTTACTACAAGTAAGAAGGCTCAGTCCCTGCAGGACTTCTGGAGATGTGTGGTTCTTTCCTGTGCACCTGTTTCCAGAGCTTCTCCTCTGCATCTGGCACTGGGGTGTAAAGCGGAACCCAGTAGGTTTGGATTGGGTGTCACAGGACGGGGCTGGGGTCTTCCAGCCTGCCCATGTGTGGGCCCCACACTGAGGCGTGCTCTCTGTAGGAAAACACGGCCCTGCGGAGGAGATCCAGGCGCAGGGTCATGATTCACGATTTGAGCCAGGGGACAGTATCTGAGGGAACAATCTTACTGCCCAAAACAGGATAAGCAGGAGTTAGTTGGTCAGGAGTGGGAGGAAGTCCACGCCAGGCAGAGGGTGTGCAGACAGGTAGGGCATGCCGAGATTGTCCCCCAGAGCCCCAGTATGTCTGGCAGGGCTGGGCAGTGCTGGGAAGACTGTGGAGTCCTCAGCAGTGAGGAGGAAGGTGAGTCAGCTCTGGCTTCATGGTGTGGATTTCACACTTCACAATCCCACCATATTCCTATATGAAGAGGTTGCAGATGATTCTAGAATTCTAACCTGAAGCTTACCAAGTGCCCAACATCAAATCTGGGTTTCACTGGCTGTTTGGGAAGCGCTGGCCGTGGGGCTATGGTCAGGGCCCCAGCTGCCCCTGGAGAACATCCCAGCGTCTCCGGCTCCCTCTGGCTGGCGTTCTTCGTTATGGAGGGCGGGGACCGGGAAGAGCAGCCTGTCTGGTGCACCAGCCTGCTGCCGCAGACCATGGCTGTGTGGCTGCCTCTCCCACAAGCCTCCCTTCCTTCCAGGCAATTCTGAACGCTCTTCCTGAGCCCCACCCTCCGCTGACCCCCTGACCCAATCTTGGCTGAGGAATGTTCATTAGGCATTTGCTGTGTACAGTGATCTGGGGAACACAAGGATGAGAAGTAGCCAACCCTTGTCTTAGGGAGGTTAAAACATACACAAAAGGAAATAAAAAGTGGCTTGGAGATTCAAGGGGCAGGGCGGGGTTTAGGAATGGCTTGATGGGACAGGTGGCTTTTGAGATAAGCCTTGAAGGACAAGATGGAATTTGGACAGGGAGGGCTCAGAGGGAGGCTTTTCTCCATAGTGGGTGGAACACCAGCAGCGTAATGGAAGAGCACGCATCCTGGGTTTGGCGGGACCTCGACTGGGGGTTGGAAAGTGTCTCAGACATGAGAACAGCCTGGCCTGGCAGTACTGGGTGTCCCTTGTAGGGTTCCTGGAGATGCATGTGGACCATGATGAATGTGTACCTTATTTCTTGGCCTTACAGACTAGAGATACTGAATCCTTTTTATATTTTTAGAATATAGGCTTATTTCTTACCTGAATCTGTTAATGTGAAAGGCTTTCACTCAGTCTTAAATTTGCTCAGGTTCCCCAGGAAAACAAAGGGTGTTTATCTGCTGCTGTGCAGAGTAAACCTCACAGGGGCTCCCCATCCTCCTAAAGTGTTGCATCACGGCGGAACCCACTTGGAAAGAACCTCCAGCCCAGCTGTACCCAACCGTTTGAGGCTCAGAACCCTGAGGCAGCCAAATCCTTTATTTTCTAAATCCACAAAGGTAAAGTGATGGGAGCTGCTCTGTGCAGGAGGATGAGCCAAGTGTCTGGTTTTAAGGAGACCCAGAGGAATTTCCTGACGCCAAGTCTGGTGCTTGTCAGTCACGATCTGCCACACACAGGGGCCCCTTTTTCTGCGTGGCCGGCCTGAGATGGGTGTGCTGTCCGCAGGTGGCCTCTCTCACGCTGCTCTAAAGCACCGCTGCAGCCTCTGTGATTCCGTAACTGTGCACACACTCACCAGTAAAAGAAAGTTTGTTTTATTTGAAAAATCACATCCAGGTATTTCATGTGTGGTATTAACTTCTTCATGTACAGTGTTAAGACCCCAAAATATACTCTTAACAGAAAGGTAAAACTAAGCAGAAATAGCATTCCCCCTATTAGCTTCCAGAACCCACTTAAATCCCAGAAGAGGGAGGGTCTGGCCATCCACACTCCGCGGCTGCGTGGCCTGAGAATAACTTGCTTCTTGTCTCCTGCAGGTACCAGTCCCTGGAGGCCGCCTATGGCGAGGCCAAGCGCCAGCGCTTCCTCAAGGAGCTGGCCCAGATGGAAGACAGTGTGTACCTGGCACGTTCCCAGGCTCAGGAAAAGCTGGACAAATACGCCCTTCAGGAGATGGTAGGGGAGCCTCGTCTCTGGGATGTGCGGGTGAAGTGGTGCCCTGTCGGTCTGCATGGTGCTGTCTGGGGACCTACGCTGACTGTCCTTGCGTCCGGCAGGTGGAGGACAGGCTGTCCTGGGAGCGGCCCTCTTTTGCAGAACGGATGCGCAGGGCCCCGGAGATCCTGGTGCGGCTGAGGTCACACACCGTCTGGGAGAGGATGTCTGTGAAGCTGTGCTTCACCGTGCAGGGGTTCCCCACACCTGTGGTGCAGTGGTGAGGGGCCTGCCCCAGGGGCTGGAAGGAGGATTCAGGCGGGGGTGGGGGAGGAGGGTGTGCACCACGCCGCTACTGGCTGCTGTGCTCCAGGGGCTACGTGGCAAGCCTGTCTGTAAAAACTCACCAGATCCCCTGTTTCCAATAGTACACAGTTGCTTTCATCTCAGCAGCATTGGTTCAACTGATTTTTCAGAAGATTCTTATTTAAAAGTCGGTTCCCTGAAATGACCCATCTTTACACGCTTGGCTCTCATCCATTTTACATTTGTGATCTTGGGAAAGCTCCTCAGTGGGAGCCTTGAACTTGAAACTGTGGGACTGTAGTGCAGTGGCTCCTTGAACTTTGTGATGACTAAGAATTCAACTTGGCGCCCACAGACCTCTCTGTCTCAGTGTCTCCTGATGTGTATGCATCTCTGTGTCTACACACGTTCTCTTATCTGCATGTGGGCTGGAGCCCTGCAGCTCACACTGTGGCCGTCTGGGTCAAGACTGGCTAGGTCGGTGTGGTCTTGTCCCTGGGTGGATGGTGAGGCTGGCATTCTCCTGCCTGTATAATGCCCCTGGTGCAGCCCTGCTGTGCTGTCATCTAAGTAGACTACCCTGGGGCTAACATCACTTTATTTTACTATTTTTATGGAATCATATCTTCTGATTTTTTCACAAAGTTCAAGCCCACTTTCAGGTGACCACAGGCTGAGGATTGCCCTGCATTGGAATTATGCAAGTGCTGCTCTCTTCTTAAAAACCCAAACCAAGGGTGGTACCTGTGGCTCAAAGGAGTAGGGTGCTGGCCCCATATACTGGAGGTGGCGAGTTCAAACCTGGCCCCGGCCAAAAACTGCAAAACAAACAAACAAACAAACAAAAAATCAAACCAAGTTAGGCTCCAGCTCTCTGCCCGTCATCCTGTCCAGCCTATGGCATGAAGGGACCCCAGAAATGGGTCAGGGTTGCATCAGAGGGGCTGCACCCAGGAGGTCGGGGTAAATCCACAAACAAGGAGAACATCTACCTTTAAACTAAAATCCGTGTTTCCTTCATTTAGGTATAAAGACGGCAGCCTGATCTGCCAGGCGGCTGAGCCAGGGAAGTATCGCATCGAGAGCAACTATGGCGTGCACACACTGGAGATCAACAGGTAGGCCCCAGGAGAAAGAGAGGGAGGCCACTGCCACCCACCATGGCCACGTCCCTGCTCCACTCGGCTTCTGAGACCTTCCCTAGTCACTGCAATGTTGCTAAAAGCTGCCTTTGTTTACTCTTGGTGTCTGGCCAGAGGAAGCCAACTTCTGGGAGTAAAAAGCTCCGTGTAATACTCAAGTCACATCTGCAATTACAGAGGCGCTCAGTGGGACTTGTATTCATCTTTAGTTATATTTTGAGTGTTACAATTTTAATATAGTTTTTCCTTTCTTAAAGCATGAGTGCGTTTTTGGCACCCTCTGTATATACGTGTATGTTTATACGTATTATACGATGCGTGGTGAGCGTGTGCGGTTGGTTATACCAAACCCCTTCTAAGAAAAGGTGAGCAGTATTAGTAAAGGTAATCTAGAAGATAAGTGAGACAGTCCAGTATGTGACGTTACTGATTTTGTTGTGACTAACAGTAAAGCGGTGGCTGCGTCCTCACTGGGCTCAGTTTCTTTAGAGGTAGACGTGCCCGTTGATCCCAGAGGGAACTTAGAGGGGTGCCAGCTGCAGGACACCAGACTTTGTCATTTCCTCCCTCTTCCCCCCAGGTGCGTGCTTTTAATGAAAGTTTTTTTTTTCCTAAAAAGCTTCGAGCTTTAGCTTGAATAGGGGCCAGGCTGCTACCCCTGGGGAGCCCACATGTGCAGTAAGACTGGGGGTCCAGGGGGAGCTGCAGGGAGCCGAGGGGACAGGAGGCCCTATGCCCGTGGGTAGATGAGAGGCAGAGGCTGGGCTCTGGGGCTCCTGCTGCAGCTCAGGAGAGACCACTGGGGCTTGGAAAGGGAGGGGTAGTGTGGTTGGGGAGGAGGGGCTGGAGCAGCAAGTCTGAGGTAGGCCAGCAGGACTGGGTGCTAGTGGGTGACAGTCACGGACGTTCCAGAGCTGAGAAGGGCAGGAGGGGCGGGGGGACAGGGGCTTCTTGAGGGGGTGTTAAAGTCCCCTGAGGGGGGAAGGGGTCTCCTGAAGGGCATAGGCATCCTCTGAGAGAGGCAGGGGTCTTTTGAGGGGGCAGGGGTCTCCTGAGAGGGTAGGGGAGGGCACAGGACTCAGGAAGAGTTGGGGCTCCTCACCCTACACTCCGAATGCCTGTGGACTCTCTCTGTGCTTTTTAGAGAGTAACTTTCTCTCTTTGAATTTCCAGAATTTGTGGGAATCTTAACATGTAAAATTCTGTAACATCTAGAAAAGGAATAAACACCTGCCCTGTCTGGGAGAGCACACGCATTTTCAGGGATGCCTGTCTCCGAATCTGTGCTGTTGCTGCTTGGGGTGAGAGGTCAGCTGCAGTCAGAGAGCAGCTTGTCTCCAGGCTGTATTGTAGTAACTGGCTTAAAAAGAAAACATTTCCCTCTCTCAAGTATGAAAAATGTCTTCTTCACATTAGTGCCACAATTCTTAAATTTTACATTGGGAATAATTTGGGCTTCAAACGGAGTGAACTGATACACCAATAAAGTTGAGGAACATGGCGTGGAATACCAAGATTCAGAAATCCAGACTCCTTGGATAGACTTGGACTTCGCATAAGTATTTTGCAGATTTGGGAAAAGGGAATTCCAAACTTTTCTGCCAGTATTCTTATCTGTTTGGGGAAGCTTGAAGCAGTGGAAATGTTAATATTCTTCAGGAAAAGAGCAATGAGAAAAGCCCACGAATGACGCTGGCTCAGCTGTTCATACCAGACTGCTGAGCTGCGGGTCATCTGAGCCTGGCCATTTAAGTGGTGTGGGCAGCCGCTTCCCCTTCTCATGGCTCAGGGACCAGCCTTTCCTTCTGTTACACGAGTGACATTTGCTCTTCTGAATGTTCTTTGGCAGCTACAGATGAATTCTTAAAGTGCCGAAAAGGAAACTTACCCCTTGGTACCATTTAAATTTAAATGTACAATTGACACTATTTCATGCGTTCGTAAGATTTTCTCTCGGGACTCATAATGTGTGTCCTATTTCTTCAAAGAATTTTTATATTGTTCTTACATTCATATAAAAGTGTTTAGAACAATCTATCTGGATTGTATTAGTAATGGCCCTGCTTCCCACTCCTGGCAGAATGATTTTAGAGCTAAACTTTTCCTGTACTTTATTTTGTAGATCCTGCTATTTAATCTTTGATTTGAGTTAAATTATAAATGTGATGTCATCACCACCATCACCACTTACAATCCGGGGACACGGCCTCCCCCCCCCCAACTACCCACAAGATGTTCACCTACTTAACTTTTTTCACCTTTTTCACCTACTTAACTTTTTATCTGTCCACCTTTAGAGTAGATGGGATTAGATCTGTTACTCCCACACAGTTGTTTTGTGGGCGCTTCAAACTGAGACTGGGATGCAAAAGGGCCCATGGAGGTTCATATAAGTGGACACCAGAGAAAACACTCCCTGTGTGTTCTGGGATCCCGTCCAGACAGAAAACAAATCCCTCCCTTCTTGATCACTGGCTTGCAAGTTCTCACAGCATGAAGTAAAGGTTAGAATTAGCCTCTGTGTGCTGGCCAAGTGCTTTCTCTCCCGCAGCCTTGGAAAGGAGAGGCAGGGTAGAGTCTGAGGGTATGGAATTGCAGAAGGGCCAGAGCTCCCAGGCTCCTGGCGCTCCATGGACAGAACCTTTAATCTGTGTACAGGGCTCCTTCAGAGCAAACCCACCCTCCCTTCTGCTGTCTGTCCTGTCCCTGGGTGATGCTTCAGTCGCCCAGCCACTGGACCAGCAGTGACTTAACATGTGTTTATTTCTCGTCCATGTCTGTGCCCCTGTTCTAACAATTACAAGGTAAAAGGCAGAGATAGCAGGAGACACGAGCGGACTTCGGCCTGTCCCTGCCCACCCGATGGGCACTCCCTCGCTAGGCACGTCCTGCTCTGGGGACTGTGTGTGCAGCCCCAGGGCATCTGTGGGGCTGTGTATTTGTGAGGGTTAGGGGCTTCTGCACAGACAGGTGAAAGCCGTGGACCGTCTCTTCTGAGTAAATGTGCGTCAGCACCATGTTTGCACACGCTGGAGGAGGCCAAACCGCCTGCTCAGGGTCCCGCAGTTTGTACCGCAATTCCCTTCCTCTGGGCACTAAGTGCTAATTGGTCACAGGACAAGCTAATCAGTGCTAATTTGTTAGGTGGTGTTCCCCCTGGCCTGTGATGCCTTAAGTCCATGGGACAGGCTGCTGGCGGGGGGCCTGGGAATCACCCACTTCTCCTTCTTGGAGGCGTAAATACTCCAATTCACCCCTTTCGGGACAGCTTTGTTCTCGCCCGGCCCCACTTCAGCTATGTTCTGCTAAAGCAGTTAATTGCCGTTCTCAGGAATTGAGAACAGGTTGTTTTGCAGGCAAAGAGCAAAAAGGAGAAAGCAGAGAGGATCTTCTTTGAACATCGGGTCCAGTAATTCAGCTCACATAATTTAAATGATATATAAATCAACGTTGTGTTATACAATGATACTGCTCTATTTAATCATTGAGGTTACCCTGTTCGTGTGTAGGTACGCACACTTTAAATGTATCCTAGAAATTTAAAACATATGACATCTGTTTATTGCAAGGTCAGTAGGGGAGAATTATCTGGCTGATGTCCTGGACACACAGATTCGGAACAAGCGCTTGTGCTGGTGGCCACAGCCCTGCAATAGTTTAGACAGCTATTTTCTTCTGGATTTTATTCTCATTTTCTAATATTGGAAAACTCCTAATTCATAAAGATAAGCAGTTGGAACCTTTTTTACCTTGAAATCTCAGAATGTTGTTCAATTAAACAGGCGGCAGAAGAGCCCTTGTCTGAGGCCCCGGCACAAGCAAACCTGCATCCTTGGGGTTTCATGTGTGACTGGCATGTGATGCCTTTGACCATGAACTTGACTACAGTTTAAAAAATTACTAGAACACATATTGAAGAAGGAATTTGCAGCATGTTTGAAAAATCCCATTTGAAAACTGTGAAACGCAGCTTAGAACCACTGAAACTAGATGATACTCAGCAGGGCTTTGGACAGAGGCCTTCAGGAAGATGGGGAAATCCGAGGGGCCCCCCGGGGCAATCTCTGCATGAGAGAGAACTCTGAGAACTCGGTCGGGGGGGTGTGTTAATTAAGTCCTCCCCACTCAGGAATGGGTCCCAGTGGTAACCGGCTGGGCTGTGGAGACAGCCTGCACCCCAGTCCAGTGGTCACTTTCTGTGAACACACACGGATGTGCCCCGTGTGCCCTGCCCTCAGTGGGGTGTCCGTGTTTGCCTTCCAGCCCCTACCCCCAAGTCTAATCACTGTGTGCGCCTGGTGCAGGCTCCAGTCAGGGATTTCCACAGAGCAGTTTACAGAGCACTTTGCTTCTTTCCAACATATCTGGCACTCCGGTGCTTCTGGCCGTGCTGCAGGACGCTGTGGCGATCACTTCTCTAATCCTCTGTCATTGCTGCTGCTGGTGGGGTTGTTCTAGAGGAAGGGGAAGGTTTAGGACTAATCCCAAATAAGAATATCTTCCTGTCTGGGAATGCATTTATGCATATATAATGGTTTTATTTGTTTGGAAGAAATAACACAAGCACAAAGTGAAAAAATAGTTCAAGCAGTGCCCAAGGTTACTGCCACCAAGTAATTCTTCCTCTACCCCAGACCCCAGATCCCAGGCACATTCCTGTGGGCACACGTATGCATGTGTTACAGGTGTAGGTCAGCATAGATTGTCAACGTTTCCCAGTGGAGAAAGTGCCCACATTATGGGGCTTTTATGTGTTTTGCACACACCTTTCCTTTGACCCTGGGGGCACGGCTGCAATTGCAGTGTTTGAAATTTGCCCAGCACAGTCATTCCTAATGAGTTCAGGCTGGAATTGTAATGTAGTTGATGGGCTTTGAAGTTAGACTCTTATTCCTCCAAGGTGAGCTAGAAGATAATGTCCTCAGTTCATAAATCTACCGGCACTCAGCTGTTTCTGTGATTGCTCCCTGGAGCCAAGGCAGTTAAGGAGGTCGCAGACATTGTGGACACTTCCCAGCTGGATTTGAACTTCAGGAGGGGGGCAGGAGTTCTTGGTGGATAGCACAGGTCTCTGAAACCTTCTCTTCCCTTTATTGGAGACACTGTGAAAGTCTTGGTCAAAGAAAATACTTAATCTCCCAGTCGAATAGAGAAGAAAACAAATTTACTAATGACCTCCCCAGAATGGGTTTTGTTTCTGGGGACAATGGCTTCTTCACACATTTAAGAAGTAAGACTTGAGTAACTTTTCCTTTTCTCAGAAGTGGGGTTCTTAGTGTTGTTCCTTGTCCCAGGTTAAGGTTTTTCTTGGGGTCCTCATTTCTTAGAGAAAAGCAGAATTGCAGATTGTGGTGCCCTGCTTACCCTGGTTCTTAATGCATCGGCTTTCTTCGCCTTGAGGTTTATTTCTCAGGGTCCCTGGAAATGTCATATGCAACAGCCGATGTGAAGTAGCCAGTGGAGAGCCAGCGTAGAATAAAAGTGTGGTAGATTCCAGCCCCTCCTTGCGGTTCTCTCTGTCAGCTTTCTGGGGTGGAGGGACAGTTCGTGCCCATGAAGCAAGCGTCCACTTCTGCAGGTGCATGTGGGGAGGTGGGAGAGCTGCATCTCACGCAGGGTCCTTGGCTTTCTTGGGTCCTAGTATTTTCCAGGTGTGAACTGCACTAGTGCTCGGGGTAGGGCCTAAGGCAGACCCTTAGTACATGTCTGAGTGCCAGATCCCCACCTGGGGGTCATGTCACTTTGGGGGTCTGGACATCATCTCTTATTAGCCCGGGAATGCTGGTTGGAACTGTAGAATCTGCTGTCCTAACATGGCATCTATCAGGCAGCATGTTCTCGGCCCGTGCCTCGGAGCCCCTTGCTGGTGTGAGACATGGCTCTTGTTCCTGCCGGCGTTTTGAGGGGTTCTCAGGGCATCATTCTGGGGTTGCTGTCCCAGCAGTGTGTGGGGTGGAGAGCCTCCCCAGCACACTGGGTCAGGGTGTGCCAGGATGTCCTGGGAAATCTCAGAGCCAGCCTGGGGACAACTCCCCTGATCTGGGCCAGGGCTGCTCTGGACGAGCCTTCTGCTCCTGCACACAGCACTGCAGGGCTGTCCCAGGCATGCCCTTGTTGTCTGGCATCAACATGATTCTGCTGGAGGCTGTGGTCACAGAAGCCTGACCACAGACAAGGTCAAAGTAGGGATTCTGTAGTGGTAGAAAAATAGGACCAGAATGGAAGGGAGACATTTCCTGGAAAATGAAAAGAAGGATTTTTGAGAGGGCCAGTACCTCTTTACTCTCCACGCCAAAGCCAACCCATGGTCTGGGCTCCAACGTCCGTCTGTAGCTATGATTAATGCTGGGCACTGCCTTGCCATGCCAGGGACAGAGCTGGCATTGTTCTTGCACCAATCACTCATGAGCGGATCACCTGGACACATGATTTACTTTCGAGGAATGTTTCTGTTCATTCTGGCTCCTGTGCAGAGCCATCCCATAGGCCTTGGTTTGCTTTTTCTCTCCAAGGGCAGACTTTGACGACACCGCAACATACTCAGCAGTGGCTACCAACGCCTACGGCCAGGTGTCGACCAATGCCGCAGTGGTGGTGAGACGTGAGTTCGGGGCCCTCCCGGGGGGTGCCTGAGGCCCCCTCCTCTTCTCTGTGCTCACCCCAGCCTCTTGTCGCAGGGTTCCGAGATGAGGAAGAGCCGTTCCACTCAGTGGTTCTCCCTATTGGATGTAAGTAGACCGTGGGTGGCTTTTCAGTGGCATCGCGTTAAATTTTAGAGATTATTTTCTAAGGGTCACATCTGTTTAAAAATTAAGTTTCAGAAAACTCTCTCATATTTTTCCGGCCGTGCTGGTGCACTGACAGTCTGTTTCCTATAATTCTATGGCCAGGGGGTATTTTTGGACACAGCTGGAATCCAAACGAATCCAAATTCTTGACCTGAAAGCACAGTGTGCATATATTTTGTGTTTCCAGACACCTTTCTTTTTACCCCCCAAGTCTCTTAGTCATTTATAATATACCAGGCCACTTTTGGTCACACTGAGGAGGTACAGCAGATGTTGACTCAGACGCTGCCCAGCCTCTGTCTTCTTTGAAGTTCCTTTTCCTTGAATGTTACTGTGCTCTGCCTCCTGGATCCTCCCCTCTGACACACCCACATGCCTCATTTCCTGTCCAGTCCCCTGCTGTCATAGGGCCTACTGCAGCCCTGTCAGGAGGCCAGGCCCTCTCTGTGCCCCAGCTGGCTTTGCACTAGAAGGCCACAGCCCTGGGTGACACACACCAGGTAAGAGCAGCCAAGGTCCCCAAGCCAGGGCATCCTGAGGACCATAATGTGATGGATATATTTTCAATGTGGCTTGTTTGTGGTTTGGGACCGGGATTCAGGATTGACTTCCCAAGGAGTAACAGTGTATTCCTACAGAAGCTTTGATTTGGTGATAGAGTGAGGCTCAGATGCCCCAAATCCAGTGCTGGCGACTGAAGAACTGTCCAAGATGGTGCACGATGTGGAGCCTTTCCTGCGGTGCACGTCCCTTCTGACTTCTCAGTGTAGTTTTGTTGAGGGGCAGGTGGCCCAGATTCCTAATGGGCATGTGGGATCCATGGCAGGAGGCTGGGAGGCCTGAGGACCTGTGTGCAGGTGTCCGAAGGCAGCCCAGCCTGCACGGGGATCTGTGTTTGGGACGGATGGATGAGGGAGTGTCCCAGGGGCCACCTGGTCCCATCCCCTGAGTTTCTTCTACTTATTAAAATTTTATCTTTCTAAGTAAAAACTTTCAAGCACTTGTAAAGATCACAATGCTGTGTTTTCACCACCCGTTTCTAACAGATGCACATATTTTGCCTTTTTTTCTTCAGTGTTTTCTTTCTTATTGAAGTTAAGTTCGCACGACAGAAGATTAACCATCATAAAATGCAGTTTCCTGTTGCTTTTTTATTTCTAAAGAACTAGAACTTTGCAGAGATGATGGAAGCTCTGCCCCTGCTCAATCCCTTCTAGGAGGAAACCTCCAGCCTCAAATTCACAGCCATTTATTCCACTCTCCCTACATGCAAGTCATGAAGGTTTTTTTAGGAGGGGGATTTTAAAAAAATTCACTATTAGATTTTTTATTTTGAAATATGTGTACCCCTCAACCTATTCCTAAGATATAGTCAGGTTGATGCCTGATTAATTAGTTCATTTTGGTGCACAATATACAAAGGATATTCCAATGATGAAGATGCCACAGTGTTTTTGAAGATGGGGAAGCCACGACTGTAGTCAGGGGGACTTGCCTGAAGCCACACTCTGTGGCTGGGTCAGGACTGGAGCTCTCACTCCTAACATGTGGTTGGGTTCTGGGCTCTGCCTCTGCTGAGGAGGCAGAGTAGACATCATGACCATCTCTCCGGCCTTTTAGAAGAGGATTGTCTTAGCTGGCGCTTCCTGGACAGGCACAGAGAGTGGGCTGATGCAGGCAGGAGCCCAGCTTCTCCCGGCTCTGCAGGCTTGAGTCCGAGGTCAGGTGCTGGCAGGGTCGGTGCCAGTGAGTGCCCGCCTTTAGGTGCTCATCTCTATCCCCTGAGGACATCTATCCCACGGGGGACCAGCTCATGGCTTCATCTCACCCCAGTTACCTCCCTAAGGCCCCACATCCTAAGCCACCCCATGATGAATGAATTTTGCAGGGATACAAACCCAAGTCTGTACCAATGCAGCATGGCTCCTTTGAGGAGGTAAACCTCATGTTGAGGCGAACACACAGCTTTTGTGCCAAAGGCCTGCGGTGTGTCTGCCGTGCGCGAGATGTGCCAGGACCCTCCCTCTAATAGCTCTGATTCTCTGTGCAGTGCCCTTCTCGTCTGTGATCCCCTACACGCACTTTGATGTTCAGTTTTTGGAGAAATTTGGGGTCACCTTCAGAAGAGAAGGAGAGACAGTCACTCTCAAGTGCACGATGTTGGTGACGCCTGACTTGAGGCGGGTGCAGCCACGGGCCGAGTGGTATCGGGACGGTGAGTGGGGCCAGTGGACACATGGCCACCGGGGTCCTCTGGGTGGACATGTCCTTTCATATTGGTCTTGCTTTGGCTCTGCCTCCGCCACTTAGTCACCTGCAGGCTGGCAGGCAAGCCCAGGGATTGGAGAGGAGAACAGGGAGGGAAGAGTTTAGAAGGAGCACTCGAAGATTTCATAGCTCCGTAAAGAAACGAGTGTGGTGTCAACAACGTGTGCCCTTCTTCAGCTAAAGCAATAGTGAGCATGCGCAACAGCGAGCCCGTGCAATAGCGAGCATGCGCAACAGCGAGCAGCTGAGCGCTCAGACGGGTTGCACGCTGGCTTGAGGGCGATTGATCATTCATTCAGTTTTCTTTCTTTCTATTTTTTTTGAGACAGAGTCTTATTATGTCGCCCTCAGTAGAGTGCTGTTGCATCACAGCTCACAGCAACTTCAAACTCCTGGGCTTAGGTGATTCTCTTGCCTCGGCCTCCCAAGTAGCTGGGACTACAGGCGCCTGCCATAACGCCCGGCTATTTTTTTTTTTTTTCTTGCTGTTGTAATTATCATTGTTGTTTTACAGGCCCGGGTGGATTCTAACCCGCCAGTGTTGGTGTGTGTGGCTGGCATGTAAGCACTGAGCTACCAGTGCCGAGCCCATTCATTCAGTGTTGGTAGGACACAGGGGAGGGAGCGCATGCTCAGTGCTGCGATCCAAGGACTACCAAGCGCGGGTAGTTCTCAGGGCCTTTCCTCCGGACTGCGGGTCTGGGGCTTGGCCCGGACATCTGGCTTTAGAACTGCTGTCCTCAAGGACGCCATGCGGCTGTGTCCTCGGCATCCATGTCTCCACCATCCTGCATGTAGCTTTGGTTCTTACACATCGTCCTGTGCTTCCGTATTTATGCCACATGCACAAGTAAACATTTTTGTCTTCTTGGGCTGTGCCTCTAAAGGAAACTTATTTTCTAAGGATTAGTTCATTGTGTATTTTACCTAAATTATTTAGGACCTAACATAATGCAAAACATGACAAGCATAGGCCATTCTTGCCCATAAGATATTTATAACCTAGCTGGGGAAAACGCACAGCAGAACAGAGCAATGTCTTCTTAAAATCGTGATCATTTGCCACATACGTGGTATGTGCTGGCCTAGTGAGGGGAATGCAGGTCTGCAGTCAGGAAGGAGAACTCACCCGGAAAAGAGTTGCTTTCCCCTGGTGAGCAGGAGGGAGAATTTTCAAGTGCCAGAGCACAGATGCAGAAAGGTGAAAATGTGTCCCAGGCACAGAGAATGTCCCAATTTTACCTTTAAGGAGGGGCTGGGGAGTCAGGTTAGCAGGGACTCTGAGCCTTTTGATCATACCTTGGAGCAGAGTGGTTAGAAATGGCCTCTTTCCTGCTACACGAAGGAGACAGAGGCAGAAGAGAGAAGGAGGGAGAGAGAGAGGCTCACTGTCTCACTGTGTTGGTAGGAACTTCTGGTATGAAATGAAGTTGATTGGAGAAACAGTTTCACGGTGTCCCCAAGACATGGTGACCTCAATTGTAGAACTTTTTCTGGTGATTAGGAAGTGCCTAGAAGTCAGGTAACGTGGCAGTGTCACCAGCCTCTACCAGTCTGAATGGAGTATACATTTTCAAAGACGTTTCTGAGAGGTCTTCTTCCCTTTCTAGTTAGATCCTTGTGTTAGCTGAGGGGATTTAGTTATGAAACTGGTTCCCATTAGCAATAAAATCACATCTTCATAGGCATTATTATTCAAACGGTAACCGGTGGAGACCATTTTTCTATGGCTTACTTTTAGACATTAAAATGCAGGGGATATTTTTACTCTTTACAATTAATGAGCTGAAAGCCACTGAGTGTCTGGTAAGCCCCCAGGCAGTCAGCTACTGCAGGGAGCCCGGGAAACCGCAGGGAAGGAGGCGCTGCTGCCACAGTCAACACAGATCACCAGCTGCTACACTGGAGCCTCACAGGTGGCAGGAGGACCTTGGTTCCTTCGGGAAAAGCCAAGACCACTGTGGGCTGAGATTTGCACAGAAGCTGATTTGTTCAGTGATTTGGTCTGGAAGCCCATAATGGCTCAAAGATGTCTTCAAAGTGGACCCCTGTGCAGCCCCTGTCTGGCTTACATACATGTCTGGATACTTTATCCACAAAGACCAGTTTATCCTCTGGTGTATGAAGAGCTTTCCTGGAGAGAAACCCATTCTTTAGAGCAGGTGGGGAGGAGGCTTCTGTGAGTGGTCTGGCATCTTAGCTCGGGCTGTCGGGACAGAACACCCCAGGCAGCTCTGGAGACTGGATTCCAGGGTCAAGGTGCCAGCCTGGTGGGTCCCTAGTAAGGCTCCTCCCTGCATCATCACCTGGTAGTGGGGCAGAGAGAAAGCACCAACCCTAATCATAGCTCAAAGGCTCCACCTCCTGATGCCGCTGCCCTTGGGGGAGGGTCTCTGCACAGGAACTTGGGAGGATACAGGCCAGACAGTACCAGTATGCAGCTCCTGGTTGTATTTCAGAGATTGGCGTCAATTCTGGAGTTGTCCACACCCAAAGGACAGAATAGAGCTAGCAACATTCCCCACATGACACTGCATCTGAAATCAGGTGCGCGTTCACGCAACGTGCTACACCTGAGGCAACCACGTACTCCTTACAGGCTGCGGGTGAAAGATGCTTAGAGGCAGAATGATCTCATGAGGATTAGAGTTGAATTCAATGCACATCACTGCTCAGAAGGGGTTGTCCTATCACTGAGTCAGACAGCGGCCTTAAGGTCGTCTGGCTGCAGAACCTTGTCTTCCTCTCTCCTCTTCCTTTTCTTCTTTGATATCCTCCAAGGGCTCATGCTGGGTTCTTTGGAGATGCAGCATTCAGCCATCAGACAAGTGTCACTGGGACCGTGTGTCCCACTGTGGTGTTTTGCCCCCAATGTCGGTAATGACCATGTAGTTCTGTGGGCATAGCGATACTGGCAAAGGTGTTTCACCCAGGAATTAAATAGCAAAGTACACCCAATCAATTGTGGAAGAGAAAACAAGAGAGCCCTCCACCTCCATTATCCAAAATTATTTGCTTTGTCATCCTTTATCATTAATTTCTTCTTTGTTTATTAACTTTTTATTGCATTTTGTGTGTATTGCGTGATGTGGCCCGCATTGCATTTTTACTGTACTTAAACCGAGTATCATGCTGGTTCTGAATTAGCACTATTATTCTTCAACACCCTTAGCTATATGGGAAAGAGAGAAAAGTGGATGAAACAACTTAAAATATTTATTTTTTTGCCCATTTGCCACAGTTACTTCTGGAGACTTTGGCCTCATAACTGCCTCAGAGCAAAGTCACGCTTTGCACCCTGTGGGCCAGAGTTTTCCTAAACTTGCCAGGCAAGGTGGATACACACCAATTATTGAAAATGAAAAGTAGTTTTTTTCTTATAACAACTGTAATGCATGTTTGTTGCAAAAAATCCCCCAGTTATAATGTTGTAATCACACGCTACTCTGGCCACTTTGCTGTAGGCTGTGCATCTGTCCTCGCGTGTCTTAGCATGTATGGAAACAGGGAGCGTGCATTCACTTGGGAGCCTCCTTTTTACTCCTTCACCAATACGCTGCTGCCGTGCTTTTGTGACGATTATTCTTTGACACTGTCAGTTATGGAGTGCTGTTTCCATTACGTGAACATGCCGCATTTGCCCTCCATGTGGACGCTTCAGCTGGTTTACACTTCGTTTCTTATAAATGATTCTGGAATGAAATCCTCATTATGCACCTCCATTTATTACCTGGGGACAAGTTCTTAGAATTTTCGTGCATTTTTGGGAGTTTTTGACCGGCATTGTCCCTTCCCCCCAGGAAGCTACCCCTGCCTGGAAGGAGGGCCTGTCTTTCTGCTCTTCCTGATTGCCGACTCCCCTCTTTTCTTCATCCCTGCCTAGTTTCGTAGATGGGAAATACCGTCTCATTTTATTTTGTGTTTCCTCGGTCTCCGATGTGGAGCTCATTGCTCCTTTGCATTTCTCCTTTCACAACTTGCCTTTTAGCCCCCTGGTTTGTTGTAGCTTTGTCATTTATTTCTAAGTTGCAGTGTAGAGGATGCTCCCTGCCTCAGGGTCGGGGCCACCCCAGGGTCGGGGCCAGTGCTGTGATGCATCAGAGCCCCAGCATATAAGGACACAGCCCAGGCTGGTGGTGAGGGGTCACCTCGGTCACTGCACCCTAGGGCAGGAAGCAGGTTTGGACAGCCCACATGTAAACTCTGCTCTCCTGAGGACAGAGCCGGGAGGCCCTTTGCCGCCCGTCCCATCTTGGCTCCCTGTGAGCAGACTCCCCAGTGCTGCCTCATCGTGTGAGTTCTTTACAGGTCACGTCTGTCGGTTCCCACCAAGTCCAGGCTCCGCTTGCTCCCTGGTGTTCCTGTGGCATTCCTGTCTGGGCGCAGGGCTGCACAGTGTTCCCTGGGGTCTCCTTTGATTCTCAGATGACTTCTGATGAAAATCTTCAATTCTGACGCTCTTTCAGATGTGCTGTTGAAAGAGTCCAAGTGGACCAAGATGTTCTTTGGGGAAGGCCAGGCCTCCCTGTCCTTCAGCCACCTGAACAAGGACGACGAGGGCCTCTACACGCTGCGGATCGTGTCTCGGGGCGGCGTCAGCGAGCACAGAGCCTTCCTGTTCGTCAGAGGTGTGGCTGGCAGGGGGACTGACGCTGAGGGTGCCGTGTCAGGCAGAGGGCATGGGGCAGAGGAGTGAGGAGGTCTCAGATGGTCTCTGCTCCTCCCCTGCTCCTGGAGGAAAGTAGACATTTCCTGGGCACACGCACCCCAGGGTTCATTCTGCCAACAAGCACATGAAATAGCGAGACATGGTTTGGATAGATCAGAATCATTATTTTCTCACTTTAATTATTCACAAAATCATTAGCATTTATAAAGTGATTCCTAGCAGTGAATGCACTAGACTTACCCAATTGTCAGGGAATTTAGCCCAGGGGTAAGAGGAGTCCAGCGAAGAAGGCCAAACAGCTGCTATGGTTCTCTGGTTAGGGCCAAGTTCATGCTGGGCTTTTGTTGAGAGGAGGGGACAACAGTGATGGCACCTGCTGCTGCGGCTGCCACCAACTTCATCAGAACTTAAATTCTCATTAACCATAAAACTCTGGCAACCAGTAATTACTGAAAGCTTTACGCCAGGCAAATGCTTACAGTCCTCCATGTATTTAATCCTCATAACAGACTTACAAAGAAAAACAAAATTCAAAATTCGTGCTGTACTGCCAGGCAATGTTAGGCATTTTATGCTTGTGGGGATATATATGGGCACCTAGGTGTGTGCATATGTGTGAACATACATGCAAATATGATATGTCATCTAAAATTCTCATAACTATTTGGTAAGAAAATATTCTTCTCAGTTTTACGAATAAACCCTTTGAGGCTTGGAGGCATGAGGAATGCCTCTCAGGACTCAGGAAATGGCTATGGTCATTACTGAATATCTTATCTTAACACAATCTCAAGAATAAATGTAGAACAAACACATCTCACCTTCTCTGCTTCCCCCGTGAAGTATGAGCTGGCAAGTCTGTGAGTTTACACACTTCTGAAAAGTTTTACTTTTTTATTAGGTTGGCATTAAAGCATCCCCCTCATTGCCTGTGAATGCCTCCTGGCGAGACGTTCCTCCCCGTAAAAATGCAATAAATACAGCACAGCTTCAATTGCCTTGCTCAGTCAGCACTGACACCAGAGAGAAAATAACGCACGTGAGGGGGACTTTAATCATTCTGATGACTTTCTGAAGATTTCGGATGTGAAAGAAAATGTTGGCTCCATGTCAAGAAATTTAATATGCTAAGGATACATGAATAAGAAACTTGAGTAATGCTTACACTGCTAGGAGTGTGTCACTGGACAGCCATGGTTACTGCCTAAATACATACTTTAGATAAGGAAATTAAATGTTCAGTGTATTAACTTTCTAAATAGCTTTGTTGGTCTTCAGTGCAACTATAATTAAAACTTGAAAGCAAAACCTAATTGCTTTAGCATCCTAAGTAGGTTTGGTAATGACCCAAACATTTGCTCACAACTTGCGGAAAAAAATTTAAGTTACCAAATTAAAAATTTAAATCACTAAATTTTCTAGGGATTTTGAAATATAAGAGGGCTTAAGTAATATTTCTCAGGTGTTAAGAAAGAAAAATTATTATCAGATTTTTGACAAAGTGCTACTTTGCCACAATGTGTGACCTAGAGGAGGTAAATTTGGGACATTAATTTGGGACCCAAGGATGGGAAATTGTAGACTTGAGTGTTTTATAGAGGATTTGGTGTTTTGAGGCTTTTTCAAACTCATAAATTTACAGCAGAACCTCCGTAGTTGGTCACCTCCTCCACTGACCCCCTCCTCGAGTTGATCTGATTTTCACAGCCAGACACACACCATATGCGTGTACCAGTAGAGCAGGACTGGCTCCTTATGTTGACCACCTCTGTACGCTGACCAGTTTGTGCAGTCCCTTGGGTGGTCAGCTTACAGAGGTTCCACCGTACTTATGTTTCTTGTCACCAATCCACCAGGGTCAAAGAACATTCTAGTAACTTGAACATGAGGATGAGACAGTGAATCAAACCAAACAGTGGGGGGTTAAGTTTGAAGCAACCCCAGCTTTAAGGGACTGTGGATTTGTGTCTTTTCTCCCCCACCCCAGACGCTGACCCGCTGGTCACAGGGGCCCCCGGAGCTCCCATGGACCTGCAGTGCCACGATGCAAACCGGGATTACGTCATCGTGACCTGGAAACCTCCCAACACGACCACCGAGAGCCCCGTCATTGGCTACTTCATCGACCGGTGAGTGCCATGTTGGAAACATTCCTGAAATGAGCATTTTCATGGGCGGTTAGTGAAACACAAGTTCTTATTCTGAACTGGCTCTGTGTCGCTGTTTGGTTACTGGTGGTTATCATCCGGTAGGCTGAGCCCAGCATAACCACGTGGGAGTTTCTTTTTGCTGAAACTGGCATCTTCTCGTTCATCTCCTCTACACCCAGCAACGAGTCCTGACATCTGTGGGCACTCACGGAGCCTGGGGTCATTCTGTGGGGTGTGCTAGGGGAGAGAAGCCTCTCGGTCAGCAGAATCTACCCCTAGGACTGTTCCTCCCTGCTGAGAGAGTGCCGGCTCTTTGCACAAGTCCTGCTCTTTTTCTCTTTTAAGTAATAAGATTTTTCTTTTTGTCGCTGAGTAAAATATATTGGGCCCTCACAATACAGAAGATTGAAATTTATCTTTGAGTTAATAACTTAAATTTAGATCAGTATCAAACCTGAGGGAGTTCTGACTCTTTGGGTTTCCATTATGTGGAATAGTGAAAACTCAGCAAGCCAAGGAATTGGCTGGATATGTACTTTATGCTTCATTATTGGAGGAAATTATAGTTAAAGACAATGAATTTGGAGGTGAGACAGAGGCCATAAGAGAGTGATTCCTGGCAGGAATTCAAAATTTTCTATATATAAAAATCAATTGCTTGTGAGGTTTTTTTTTTTGTTTACCCTGATTAAACTCTTGTCTACCTCCCAACACAGCTGTTTGTTTAGCTGAAACAGTCCCCATCAAGGCCGTATTTTGATATGCTGGAGAGAAATCTGCAAAGAGTATTGTTCAGGGTTTATATTCAGTTTAAAACAAAATAAAACACAAACTGAAAACCGTCTTCTATTCTCCTGCGGCCTCTGATGACTTTCCTAACAAACTGCCTAAAAGCACTTCAAGCCTCATCTCAGCTGGTCATCCAGCCCTCTTCCCCCTCATTAAAGCAGCAGAACATTCTGGAAGGGGCAGCTCCTTCTCCTCTGGCTCCCCACCTGTGTCCAGCCTGGTGTTGGTTTAAGTTGAGGTTTCCCTGCTGACCCCTTTTCTTTGGCTGAAACAGGCCAGGACCAGGACATACGGATGAGAGAACTTTCTTTGAAAATTCTGAGAGTTAGGGGAACAGAGAGCTGGTTCTTTCTAAAATGAATGTATGACCTGAGTTCAAAAACTCCGAAAGACGGATTTTCTGAACTCGCTCTTTTTAAGGACTTAACATGAGGCCTTTGTTCTTATGTTTCTCAGTCTGTGAAAAAGGGCTGTGAATCTTTCCTGGGTTTCCAGGTCTCTGGTCAGGCCTTAATTAGTATTTCCAAAAGGCTTCCAAACATCCCATGAGTAAAAAAGCATCTTACCGCTCTTCCAGGGGAATGTAACGCGATCTTCTAGGAGTGTCTTCTCACTGGCCCGCAGAGCGCCTCCCTGTTGGGGGCCAGGAGTGGGGGCCGGGGTTGGGGGCTGAGATAGGGCTTCTCTCCAGCCTTGCCTGGAGCCCAAGAGCAACTGTGACTTTATCAGGTAAGTCGGTAAAGGAATGGCCAAGGAGAGATCTAAAATAACTTTCTGAGGTGATTTTGCCTCTGTTTGAAGGCAGGAATTGATCTTCAGCTATAAATTATTTACATTTCAGGGGTATATATAATTCATACATGATACACAGTCCATATCTTAAATAATTATGTATATTATCTTTTCTAAATAGTGCTGTCTTTTCAAAGTTCATTTATACTACCCTACAAATCAATATTTTAACAGCATGAATTTTGCCAGTGCTGAGATTATTTTCCGGTTATGGTATATATAGTATGTGTATATATATGTATGCCTACGCCTATATATTTAGTCAGCTGCCACATCTGTTATTCACGGCTCTTTTTTCTGTTTGTAGATGTGAAGTGGGCACTAATAATTGGATCCAATGCAACGATGCACCAGTAAAAATATGCAAATACCCTGTCACGGGGCTTTTTGAAGGACGGTCTTACGTGTTCCGAGTCAGGGCTGTCAACAACGCGGGCATCAGCCGGCCCTCCAGGGTCTCGGAGCCAGTGGCTGCACTGGACCCTGGTGACCTCAGAAGGTTACAAGGTAGGCTGCTCAGACGTCCCTGCTTTGAGTTCCGACTCTGACGGAGAGGCGACCCAGTGTGAGCCTGGGCGCGTTGCTGTGCTGTGCACGGTACGGGCTGTTGGCTGTTTTCTGGTGTCACGGGGTATCTGCTGTTCTCTGCTGTCTCGTCAATGTCACCTTAGGAAGGTGGAGAGCCAGATTGATGTTCACACTTTAAAACTAATGCCCTTCATCTCCATAAAGCTCTTCACTGGAATCCAGTTAAATTGGGTCGGAATTAGACCTTTTCAGGCCATTGGTGACATAATTTCAGTCTATAATGAGACTTGGGAAGTCATGAAACCAAGCCACCCTGTTTCTGAATTTTAATTTCACATGACACAGAATCCCTAATGGGGTTGGGCCCTTAATTGTGGTTTTAAGTGAGCCCTGGTATTTTCCTTACCAGCACGGTCCTCTCAATCCTCTACAAAGAGCTGAGGAGCTTATGTCACCAACCCCACTTCCAAGACATCGACTCTGATTACTCCAGAGGTCCGCTGTGGTGTAGTCCTAATGCAGAGGTGATGCAGAGTCGAGTTGAATTAGGGAACATGTGCGCTTTCTGCAGAAAATCTTTGGATATCAAATTTAGCACCAACCTTTCTCTTTGCAGCAATTCATTTGGAGGGAGAGAAGGAAATTGTAATCTATCAGGATGACCTTGAAGGTAAGTAGCTCCCCACCTCTTTGTTCCAGCTGCCTGCCATGTCCCAGGGATTCAGAATTGTAATCAGAGATATGAGAAAGCTAAGGAAATATCCACACGGCGGCCCCTGTTTGCATGTGAAAATAGAACTGCAGGGCAAGTCTGCAAGCTCGATGTTCATAGAAATTTTAAAAAAAGAAAAGAGAGAGAAGGAGGGTGTGGGTGGCCAGTCTTGGCCCCGTCATCCATGAGGGCTTAAAGGTGCATTCACTCGAGGATTTAGGGAGAAGAGACCAGAGTCAGGCCAGGGTCTGACTTCTGGCTACCACAGGGTCTTTTTCATATACTTCATTCATGGAATAACATTTCATTTCACTTTTGGGAAGCAGCAATTTTCTTCCTAACATTTTAATGGAAATAGATCAGGTCGTTTCTGCCCAGTGATGTCTCTCTAGAGAGAAGGATTTGTTAAGGAGGAAAAGCTTACGTTCTTCATCAGATTTTATTTCATCTTCTCATGAGAGGTCAGGAAGTGCAACTTAAAACTAAAAAAGCAAGATTCCAAATCAGTTTGGAGCCATTGGTGAAGAAGAGAGAGAAGAGTTTTGAGCACTTCGTTAAGACTGCAGTGCCCCAAACGTTCTTCCTTCCAGAGAACTGCAGATTCAGGGGAGGTTTGGTGATTGAGTTTCATATTTGAAGCAGACAGACTCCCAAAGGCTCCACACGTAAAGATGTTCGTCTATGACTTTAAAAACAGTAGTTGTCCCAGTGCTTCTCACCAGGGATAGAAACTCCCAGAGGAGCACCCTTCAGAGTTCTTGTCAAACCCAAGGTAACATCTGAAGTCTTGGTTAAATCCTCTGCTCCAGGAAAGATGCCCCTTTCCAAGGGAGGAAGGACTTTGGGGAAGGTTGATTTCTGTGGCCTGAGCCCTCTAGGTGCCCTGTACGTAATGACACTCTTGACACTTTTTGGTAATTAAACATAGATATTTGAGTGTATAAAAAAGCCCCCAAATTTTCCTGGAAGAGAAGATATTCTTGAAACAAAGCAACATGTGTAGCTGTGAGTTTGGGGCATTCTAGAGGACAAGGCCACTCTCCTTTCCACTCCTCGTGGGCCTGTAGGCTCCTTGAGGAGAGATGCCATCTGGATCACCCTGAGTGGACACCTAGGAATTCAGATCTGGTAGAGATGACCCACATGGCTTTCATAACTGTCATGCACCTGGGATGAAATTTGCATTGTGTAAGGGTTGATGGGAAGAGCCCTGTCCCAGGCAGGGCTGTGCCTTTCTGGGGGAGACCCTCTGTCCTCCACATAGACATAGACGCATCCAGATATCCATAGCTACTCATTAGGACCAAATAAAGAAATAAGGAAATTTCCTAAGACCTGGTCTGCAGCTGGCTAGTGGAAGTTCAGTCTCTGGGCACAAGCATTGTTATTTTCCATTGGAATAAGTCACAGACCATACTTGCCCTGTTAATTCTCATATTTCCTTTCTTAACTGGAGGCAGGCTTTTTGGTTGCCTGAGCCTGTGCTTTCCTTTGGTTTGCTGCTTCGCGAACATGCCAGTGTTTGCTCCAACCAGGAGCCTTTTCTGAGGCGCCATTTACGTAGCTGGTCCCAGGCTGAGGGGGTCTGGACTTCGGGTGGACGAGTGTGACTTGGGTGTCAGTGCTGCAGAATCTCAGCTACACGGGGATCCTGCACTCTGGTATGAGGCTTTGCGTGCAGAAAATGGGTGAATGCTGTGGTCTGAGACAAATTAGGTATAAAATTGATATTCTGTCACATTGATAGAGAGTTCATCTGTTCACCTCAGTCGTTTTAAACGAGGAGCGCCTCCTTTAATTTAAAAAAATCTTTAGACAAAGAAAGAGGTTCTATAATGCTTTTAAGAAAACCATTTCTGGGCTCAAAAATGTGCTATTAGGAATTTCGCTTTTTGACCCACATCTCTTTTATTCATAGAAGCTGATTTTTGCTTTTAACATCAATTTAGCTGAAAAAGACTTGGTAAAGGCCTCTTGTTTTAATGAAGCAGAAAGCCATTACTCTCGTTGGCTTAAAATCGCTCCTCTGCTATTTTCGACTTTTGGCTACATTTTTCTCATCATTTTAATCTTGGGTAGTGTCTCGCTTCCAACATTTAAGTTAATATCAATGCTCTTTCCTTAGTATCATCTATCTTCTCCCAGATTTCTTGAATTGCTCCACTGGAAAGTGGACACTTTCTTCATGGAAAGACCCCTGCCGGCTCTCGCAGGATGTTATGAGACTGATTTTATCCTCCCTGGGTTTTGTACCACATTGTCCACACGCTGCCTCGGACAGGCTCCTCTGGAGCTCCCCCACTTACTCCATCACTCACACTGGACTCTGTCGTGCTCACGGGCAGTGGTGCATTCTCATTTTGGGGGTTCTACAAATTCCAAATAAACTCCATGTTTCATTGACTTAGAGAAACATCTCCTGGGGACATTCCTGTGGCTAATGTTGGAGGTCCAAGTGCAAGCTTCCTGCTGAAGCTTGGGCCCCAGCTCAGCACTCCTAGGCTGGCAACCTTCGGAGGCGCTGTGTTTTCCCAAGTGCCAATTCTGCACTTTGCTGACTGCCAATTCTGTGCCTGTAAGCTCGGGGAGAATGATGTTATCACCATCCATGTGGGAAAAGGGGAAAAGAACCAGATGAGATAATGGGTGAGAAAACATTTTTAAGCAGTGCTATATATACACACACATATATAATGTATTAATAATGTAGAAAATACAATAATGTTATTACTGTCACACGTGTGCACGTAGCTCACTATGGGAACAGGACGGCAGGGAGCCATCTGAGCTGCAGCAGAGGCCGGGGCAGAGTGTCATCTCTTCTGTGTGGCTCTGCCTCGTTTCTCTTCCCAGCTGCAAGCACCTTGGCCCTCTCCAGGCTTTTGGGCCACATGGGCCTGTCCTCTGCGTCCAGTGTCCATGGTGGGCTGTCTGCACGTCTGGAAGGCTGACCTATCGCACGGTCCAAGGTGATAGAGAACGTCTAAGTGACTCCACTTTCCCGCCCCATCGAGGGCTCCCGGATTCTTACGTCTTGCCTTGGCGTCAAGTTTCTCTGGGTCCTGAAGCTACCTGAGGGTTTGGTAATGGCAAGGCAGTTCTGGGAGCACGTGGGGGAGATTCTGTAGGTGGCTGTTGGCCCCGCTGCCTGCTTTTGGTTTGGTCATGTTTGCTTCTCTTGTGAGTGAGAGAAACCGTGATGTGGTTTGGGAAGTGCGGCATCTATTATGGGAAGATGGGTTTTCTGCATCTGTCTCTTCTGGGTCCTCCTCGGGGCATCTCTAGGTATGGGCACGGTGTCCTCCCTGCCCCCAGCTTGGTCACTCTCTGCAGTTTCTTGGAGACAGGTTGACTCCTTGTTTGAACCTCAATGTCTTAGGTCTTAGGTCAGGCTCGTGTTGGCTCTAAAATAAACTATGCTCTGTGACGGGACCCTCATGATGTCAAACCCTGTTCAGTTCCTCGTCTGCAGCAGAGGCCTGAGGAACCTGGATATTGAGAAGGGCTCAGACATGTCTGGGAGGTTTCACGACATTTTAATGATGTGCTAAGCTACTGGAAGCTGGTAATGTTTTGTATCACAATTCAAGGACTGTGGGTCTGGAACTTCCACCTTGCATGAGAATCTCCTGTAGATCCAAACACAAATCTCTGCACTTCACACATAAAAAAGGTGCATGTCAGATGTATTTGATTGTAAATATTCCATTATAGTTGTTTGCAAAAGGCGTATCAACATTGCCTCAGAAACCGAAATAAGCAGTGTGCAACACAGCGCTTTCCAAGGTGGTGCAGACCTGAGGGACGTGTAGACCAGCTGATGTAGAAGTTGGTCTACAGTTTTGCAAAGCTGGTATACAGGTTTACAGAGCTGGTATACAGTTTTGCAAAGCTGGCATACAGTTTTACAGAGCTGGTATACACTTTTACAGATGTGGTATACAGTTTTGCAAAGCTGGTATACACTTTTACAGAGCTGGTATACAGTTTTACAAAGTTGGCATACAGTTTTACAAAGCTGGTATACAGTTTTATAGAGCTGGTATACAGTTTTACAGAGCTGGGATAACATTTTATAAAGCTGGTATATAGTTTTACAGAGCTGGTATACAGTTTTACAGAGCTGGTATACAGTTTTATAAAATTGGCATACGGTTTTACAGAGCTGGTATACGGTTTAACAGAGCTGGTATACAGTTTTACAGAGCTGGTATACAGTTTTACAAAGCTGGCATACAGTTTTACAAAGCTGGCATACAGTTTTATTTCTTGAGGGGACACAGTATGAAGAAAGCAACCCGAGAGGATCAGTCCTCAAGGCTTTCAAGCTGCCTAGCAAAGACCGTCACTGCACAAATTCCTAGCACAGCCAGAGCTCCATTTCTGATGAAACATCTAATTTCTCTGGTTAATCCTCTCCCCCTTTTCAGCAGAAATTTGGGCACACTTTGGATGAGATTTCTCTTATGAACTGACTCATGTCTGTAGTAGAAACAAAAAAACAGCCTTTCCCCCAAAGGAAGAGGACCCAAGGGCAACAGTGGTGTGGCAGCTGGTTGGTGGCCAGTGCCGTACTCAAGGGGCAGGCCCCATGGCAGCTGCAAGTGACAGGGACCCTCTGCACTCACCAGCTCCGTTCCTCCCCAGGTGACGTGCAGATCCCAGGACCCCCCACCAATGTGCAGGCCACCGAGGTCAGTAGGAACTACGTCGTCCTCAGCTGGGAGCCTCCTACTCCTCGTGGCAAGGACCCCTTGATGTACTTCATCGAGAAGGTACTTGAGCCTGAGCCAGAGGGTCTCTGTGAGGTTCTGTGCTGTCACATGCACTGTGTTTTAGGAATGGGCAGATCTCAGTGACTGTCACAGACACCGCTCAATGTCAGTGCAGGTGTGGTCAGGGAGGGGTGCGGGAGGGTGTCCTGGGACGGGCAAGGCACCAGGGCTGTGTGCTCATCTGTTTTGCCTTCTTAGCATAGGCGTCAGTCCCCACTGTTCACGATGGGTTTATCTCCAGGGACCCTCAGGGATCAGCAGGCCCCCATCCCTTACACTCCCGGCTCCTGATTCTGGACAGAACTGGGCTGCTCTCCTTGGCTGCCAGGGTGTGTGTGCAGCTGTGTGGCCACTGGATGGCGATCTCGCAGAGGGAATTCACTGGCAACCAGCCTGCCAGGAGAGTCACATCATCAGCTTCAAAGATTTTCTGTCCTGAACACAAATAAAAAAATGCAAAACACAGCTTAGCTCCTTGCAAGGCCTTAAAGGAACCACGGATTGTTACAATGTATTTTCCATCTTAACCCTACATTTCTTTATGCACTAAGAGGAGGCATGAAGCCGTGTGGGCTGCAACTCTGCAGTTTATACAAGTGATTTTAGTCCCTGGCTTCACGCTGGGTGTGGGCGGTAGGTGTGCATGTCCCCCTGAGCAAGCTGGTTTTACAACTCCAAGTTTAATGACAGCTGAATGCTCTTCTCTGGTGGGTTCGGGTGGGTTCAGGTTGGTATGTGGGCTGCTCTCTCGGGGTGTGGGTTTAGTGTGCAGTGGTCGGTCATTTCCCTTGAGGAGTTTTGCTTTTGGGGAGCAGTTGTGCCTGCCACAGGTATGTGCCCCCCAGGGGTGTGGCAGGCAGTCCCTGCAGAGGTGTCCCGAACCTCCTGCTGCCCTCCAGGCTCTGCCTGAAGTGTGGACAAGCTCAGGGTTTACTGGTGACTCTCACGTCCTTTGTGGTGTCTAGAAGCTTGGGCTCAGGCCCCTGCAGGTGCCCCCTCACACACTAGGCCCCCACACCGCCAGACTGTGCTGCACTGCATATAGTGCCAGGGGTCCCAAACATTTTAAACAGGGGGCCAGTTCACCGTCCCTCAGACTGTTGAAGGGGCTGGATAAAGGTCCTAGGCAGGCTGCATGTGGCCCACGGGCCATAGTTTGAGGACGCCTGAACTGTGGTCACAAGGAGAGCAGCCCTCGGGGCACCGCTGAGCCACCTATGACCCAAATGCCCAGATGGCTCTAAAATAGTGACCTTTCATTTTTGCCAAAATGAGAGGAGGCATCTCTTTCAAAAGTGAACCTAATTTGCTGACGCCTGGATTCAGGTGTAAATATTTTTAGCAGGCTCTAGCTGGTTAATGCATGTCCAACTTTTCCTACCACAAAATTACTTTCAAAGAGGGGGCTTATCTCTGTAGGAAAAAAAAATAAGACATACAATCAAGGTTCTTAAGGTAATTATCAAGAACACAAGTTAAGCACACAGTATATACAATTTGGAAAATACAGAGAAGTTACTTGGAATATAATTAAAATCAGTAGTAATTCCATCACATAAAACAGCCAGATTAATATGTGGTACATATAGGTTTTTATGTACTTAGTGAATTATGTGGGTAATTTGTGGTCTGTACTACACCTAACAAAATGACATAATTCCTCTCCTGTAATTAAAGATCTTTATGTAATCATTTATTGGCTAAAAGTGTTTAAATATATGAACACACTGTAGTGGGTCTTACCCCATTGACAAATGTTTATATGCCTGTCACCTGATCAGTGCAGTAAGTAACTGCAAAAAGGTAAAAGTTTTAAAGTGAAATGTGAGCCACTGAGTTATGCTGAAATTCCACAAATATACCCCCAAATTATCTTTTACTTATGTGAAGTTCATTCCCTGTTACTGAAACTACAACCTATGTATTGATTCCCTTGACTTTTCTATACGTTTGATTATTCACTTTGTTGGAAAAATTTCTGTCAGTAAGCATTTTAAACTTTCAGTAAGTTATCATCTACTTTTCCAAATTGGCATCTTTTTTTTTTTTTTTTTTTAAAGTTTGGCCTGGGCTGGGTTTGAACCTGCCACCTCCAGCATATGCGGCCGGTGCCCTACTCCACTGAGCTATAGGTGCTGCCCCAAATTGACATCATTTTTATAAAATTCAGAAAAGCTGTACTGAGTCCACTGTGTGTAGGGTGCAGTGGGTGTGCCCAGGGGACAGTGTTGGCAGCTACGTGGTGTGCAGCTGTCATTTCTCTCCGCAGTCTGTGGTCGGCAGCGGCACCTGGCAGAGGGTGAATGCCCAGACAGCTGTGCGGTCCCCGCGTTATGCTGTCTTTGACCTCGCTGAGGGGAAATCCTACGTGTTCCGCGTTCTGTCAGCAAATAAGCATGGCTTGAGTGACCCGTCAGAAATAACTTCTCCCATTCAGGCCCAGGACACCATCGGTATGTTATCACCATGCATTGCTCAAATTCAAGACAGGCCAAGAGTAAGGTGACATTGGATGACTTTTAAATCATGTGAATAAAGACATTAATGTTAGTATGAGTTAAAATTCAACCTGCTGTAAAGTTTTATTTGACAAGAGACAAAGGGCTTTCTGTTATGTTTTGGTTGGTTCTGAACAAAGCTTCAAAACCTTTCCAGGAAACCTGCAAATAAGTGAGTTAAAAATAGGTTTGGGCAATGGTCACTTTAAAAATATTACAATCCTAAATGCACTAGTTTCTTGCCTGTCTGGTCTGAAGATCTCTCTTGGAAGATTTGTGTATGGAGCACACACTACCGAAATTTGCACTGCAATCCACTCAGCCTGGAGCTGTAGCCATTAGCAGGAGACTTTCTTGAAGTGCTTTGTAGCCTTTGTGATAGACATATTTTAGTGGGCTGCAATTCTGATTCTAAGTCACTGGATACCCCTCTCCTCTCTCCTTTATCCATTTTTTGTGAGAAAGCTGGTTCCCAATATAACATGGTAATAGGCTTCCACCTCCAGGTGTCTCCCTGGTTCTGGTTTAATTGAGGGTCATAGGACTCACAGGACTCATGCCCAGGGTGGAAGAGACCTGTGGCCCCCCCAGCAGGGGCCCAACCCATTTTTACTTCATGGCTCTCACAGAAAGTGATCATAACTGGCACACACTGAGGCGTGTGGCCCAGGCTCTGAGGACACTGTGGCTCTGAGGGGTGCCTGCACCTCAGCTGGTGTGAGGTGAGATGATCATATGGTCAAATAATGTTTTAATTTTGAGTCCTCTTACCATTCCGATGGATCTGATGAAAATGTGCCTCATTTCTTAAAAATTTGTAGTTTACATTCCAAAGCAGTTATCACCCACGTGGCATAATCATTTATGCCGCTGGAAGAGCTCTTATAGCGGGTCTGGTGAGGTGCAGGCAGGACCCCCATGTGAGCCCCGAGAGTCTGACTCCTCTCTGTACCTGTTGTTGGCCCACAGCTCGTCTCCCTTGCCCCCATTTCTTCCAAAGCCCAGCCTGGTTTGCCGAGGGTCTCTGGCATGGCTGACAAAGGTCTCACCCCACTTCTGCCATCACTTTGTCTCCTCTGCACAGTCACTCCTTCTGCTCCCGGTCGGGTTCTGGCTTCACGAAACACCAAGACGTCTGTCGTGGTGCAATGGGACAAGCCCAAGCATGAGGAGGACCTGCTGGGGTACTACGTGGACTGCTGCGTGGCGGGGACCAACATCTGGGAGCCGTGCAACCACAAGCCCATCAAGTACAACAGGTGCCCACGTCACCTCCTGCCGCCCTGAGATCCTTGTACTGAAATGAAGTGGGAGAAGCAAAACCAGGACCCACATGTCTCCCGGAGTGGCACACCCGCTAAGTTTCTGTGCACACAAGTCTGCTTTCCTTGTCAGGCATAAGGGCACACACAGGTTGTAAAGTCTGAACACTCAGGTGTGCCGGTTACTACACCAGCTCTTCTCAGCTGAAACGATTTATTTATGGATGAAAGAAGAGTCCCAGCACTTGGGACTTTTTTTGAATAGGAGAGTTAAAAATAGCAACTACATTGTAAAAGTCATTTTATTTTTATGTATTGATTTTTCAAACTTTTAAAATTGCTTTGTTCATGTTACTGGCAGTCCTATTCTCCAGCCCTGGCGGGGACCCCATGGGAGCCCTGTCCTCTCATGGGGGCCTGCGGGGGAGGGAGGCTGCTGTGCAGCAGAAAAGCCACATCTGCTTTTGGGACTGACCTGCTCCCGAGGCCACTGAGTGGGCAGAGGTTGCCTGAGAGCATCAGGCTTTGCCCACTAAGCAAGTCTCAGGACAATGTAGGCAGCTGTCTGAATCACCTGTGCAGACAGGTTGTCAATCACGGCTCATCCATTTTACCTTGTAAAATCTTTTAAAAAATCCATAGTAAGAAAGTTGTGGCTAGAAAAGAAGAAATGTCATCGAGGGGAATAACAGATGTTCCTCAGCCTCCACGGCAAAGGCAGAGAGATCCGTCAGGATAAGAAACTTAGGATATTATTCCGGTAGAAGGATCCTGTAAATGGTTAATAAATGCTGGCTGATTATTTAAGATACATAATTTTCACTTACATTTACTGGGTCCTCACCACGCACAAGGGGTAAAAGTTCCTGTTCCAGGCTTGTACCAGTGCCATGAGCTTGTCCCTGGTCTCAGGATGGGAAACAAAGTCTTACGGGGCTTGAGGAACTTGATGCAGGACGTAAATCTATTGCGTGTTAGAGCCGGTGTTCCAGCCTCCTCTAGCTGACTTCAGCGTCTCAGCCTTTAGCACCAGTGTAATTATTTCCCATTCAGTTTAGCATATACCGTTCCGTGTAGCTACTTCTCGTTGTTCAGTTTTGCATACACTGTTTCTTTTAGATAAGGAAATGGATAGTGTAATAAAACAGTCCAGTGATCCAGGCAAGACCAGGAAACGTGAAAATGAAGGCAGAGACACATAACATGTGACCTTGACACTGAGCACAGCCAGCTCCTGGGGTGATTGGGTGCTGTGGCCTTGCTCTTTTTAACCTCGCGTATTGAATTAATTAACTGACATCGCACATGAAGAAGTTATGCATACATAAGGCACATAGAAAGTAAACTTCACTTTAGTCCAAGTGAAACATTTTTTATGGCGTTTTCAGAATGATGTCTACTTCTGCAATAAGAGGAAAAGGACGTGAGCCTTGTAGTTAAGAGCCTGATCTGGTTTTCCCCAGGTTCGTGGTGCATGGCTTGACCACCGGAGAGCAGTACATCTTCCGAGTCAAGGCCGTCAACGCTGTGGGGACCAGCGAGAACTCCCAGGAATCTGAGGCCATCAGGGTCCAGGCTGCCCTCAGTGAGTCACTCAGGCGTGATTCTGCACCGAGTTTTTGTTCCCTATACACTGTAGTTTCCACATGAATAAACATTTATGATGCCATTTTTGATATTACCAGAGGGAAAAAGGGATGTAAGTCGTTGAGCAGAGGACGTGTGGTTCCTTGAAATCTCTCATCAACAGGCGACTTGTCTTGGAAACAACTGTATGAAATCTCTCATCAACAGGCGACTTGTCTTGGAGAAATGACAAGACAAAAATAAAATGCAAATTAAAAGTAGAAAACACCATCAGAGGGCACGGGGATGGGCTTCCCGGTCAAAGTGTGTGCCAAAATAGAACAACATCCACGGCCTTTTTAGCTCGTGGATAGTTAGTTCGAGAAACCAAATTCACACTTTCAGAAATTAAAATTTCCTTTCTAATGATGCTGTTATTGCCTAAGTAGGCATCATAGCAAAAAAATCAAACAAACAAACAAGCAAAAAAAAAAAAAAAAAAAACCCAAAAATCCCTTTTGGTTATAAGGTTATTATAATCTCTTTCAATTTTTTCCAGGAGAGGTACTCAAATGTTTCCATTTGCATTTTTAAGTCATTCCTATTAGATGAAAGCAATCATTTACCTTTTTATTCTAAAACAAGAATCACTTCTTTTAATCACCTGTATCCCACACAGAGGTTGCTAAGAGTCAGGGGAGAAGCAAACACATTCGGTCTCCACCTGTTGGGATTAGATGCCCCATATGGTGCCATAGCAGGAAGATGTGAATTCACACTCATTTGAATGAATCTCATTTGAACTTCTTCTAATCACCTGTATCCCACACAGAGGTTGCTAAGAGTCAGGGGAGAAGCAAACACATCCTGTCTCCACCTGTTGGGATTAGATGCACCATACAGTGCTCTAGCAGGGAGATGTGAATTCATACTCATAATTGTGTAAGACGTTAGAAGTTGTCAGAGTAAGTCGTCTTGGTGTCTCTGGCTGTGGATGCACAGATGATATTGCTTGTGGTTGTGAAGGAGAAAACACCTTCTCACAGTTTCTCTTAAGGCTGTAGGGAGGAAATCTCTTGCCTCAGGGGTCCAGAGTGGACCCGTGTATGAGAGAAACTTTCACTTTTTAACTCACTTCACCCCTTTAAAGGTGATGAAACAGCAGACAATCATAACAGAGTAGAGAAAGCTCAGGGGGCAGAGGACCCAGGCCACCTCCTGGCCCCGTGACACCCCGTTGTGCCCACTTGCAGCTGTGCCGTCCCACCCGTACGGGATTACGCTTCTGAACTGCGATGGCCATTCCATGACCCTGGGCTGGAAGGTGCCCAAATTCAGCGGCGGCTCGGCCATCCTGGGTTACTACATAGACAAGCGAGAGGTCCATCACAAGAACTGGCACGCGGTCGATCCTTCGCCCATCAAAGAGACCATCTTCACGGTTGGTGTTCCCTTGTTCCTTCATTTCTACCTGGGTGACCTTTATATTTTGGCTGTTCTTCATTCTTTTCAGAGTTTGATGACACTAGGTAATCTGATATGGTAACAAGTTGATAGCAACGTGAGACTGTGGGGTTCTGGAGCTAGAAAGATCTCGGGAACCATTTTTTTCCCTGAGAAGCCACGAAAGTGACGTCTGTCTCCCGTGCTGGGCTTATTGCACTTGGCACACGGTTCGTCATGAGCCCGACATTCCTGACAGAAGCACCTGCTGGCTTTCTGAGCACAAGCTGCTTTAGCGAGAAGACGATTTTCCTTGTCCGTGTATGAAGTGGTTAAACCTCAAACACGTATTTTGTGAGAGACAAAATTTACTCAAGTACTGACTTGTTCCGCCTACCCCATGGATTTGGTCAGAGGCTTCCCATGGCCAGGCAGAGCTCCTGAGGTCCCCCCTCCCACTGCAGGCCTGTGACCGCGCCCCAGGCCTGGGGCCACGCCCACAGGTCTGGGGCCACGCCCACAAGCCTGTGGCCACCCCTGCGGCAGCCTCAGAACCTCCTCCCCCGAGACCCACACCTTGTAGCAGCAGGATGGCTCTTGCCCCCAAGTCCCAGAGCCAGGGGCTGCTTGGGATGGAGTGTGGCCTGAGCCTGCTCCTGGGTCTCTGCCCTCTGCCTGTGTGGCCATTGTGGGCCTTGGTTTCCCTCCCGTCGGGAGAGACCAGGGAATGACCCAGGCGGACCCCATCGGCTGTAACGTTCCACTGTGGCTTGTCTGGCCCAGAAACTTTAAGTCACGAGGCTCATTTGCTGACGGGGTTCCACCTTCTGCACACATTTCATTTTATGAGTCAGTCTTAAATATGCCTTTGCCCCCAGTGGACTGGAATGAAGCTTTTATTTCACATATTAATTTAAATAAAATCCAAACAGGTGGAGGACTTGACGGAAGGCTCATTTTATGAGTTCAAAATTTCTGCCACCAACCTGGCAGGTGTTGGGGAGCCATCAGACCCCAGTGAGCACTTCAAATGTGAGGCCTGGACCATGCCTGAGCCTGGTAAGATGCTTCTCTCCAGTAGCAGAGAGGAGGAGTGGTGATGGGAAAGGACTTCACGGAGGAAGCACCGTCTCTCCTCAGCAGCCTCCCAAGGGGACTGTCGCTCACCTGACACCTGTCCCTGTGGTGAAGTGCTGACCCCAGGCCCTGGGAAGGCAGTGGTCAGGACCCCCTCACCTCCCACCCAGTGTCTGTGGTCTGGGCCCTGCAGGAACTCAGAGCAGGCAATGAGGGTGAAGTGGGGCACCCCACAAAGAGATGGGGGGAAGGGGTATGCAATCTGGCCCCGGCCTGGCCTGTGACACACAGAGATAAGCCTGGGGTCCCAGACAGAGCGTGATGCTGGATTCGCGTCTGGCAGTTACCCAGGGTTGTCCTCAGTTCCCAGCAGTTAGGGATTTGGGGACCTTCAGTTCTAAAATGCATAATTGTTGCAAATGAACATTTATTTAGGAATCTGCATTTTTAAACTGTTTTCACAAATTCTTAAGTACCAGGCATTGATTTCTGATACCTGTATCCAGCCTATCAGGATCTCAAATGCAAAGGATCGTGTGCTCCTATGTGGCACTTTACAAAACCTTCAAGTTGAAGCTGAAAGAGGACAGAAGCTCAGAGTGGTTTTGAATTTTGATTACATTGCTTTTTATCCTCCTCCCTTTCTTTCTTCTTTCCTTCCTTGCTTGTTTTAATGAAATTAATTTTTGCCACTTAGAAAAGCAGTGGATGCAGATGCCATTAGCATTTCCAGAGGCTTCTTGAGGGTCAGACGGGAAGTATCTTTGCCAGGCCCAAAGGTGGCAGTGGGATTCAACTGGGGCGGGGATGGGGGGGCTGCACCTTCCCCTCTCCTGCCCGGTGCTCATGGACACAGGCCACCTGTACTGCACACCTCCCGAGCTGCTTTGGGTATTTTCAGAGAGCAGAGTGGAAGCACTGTCCCGGCTGTCAGGTGGACAGGGAGGTTGCTAGCCCCTTCTTTTTTGACAGTATCTAGGGCCCCTGAGAGAGGGGGCAGCGTGACCTGCTGAGCTATTTGAGGATGTGCACAGTCCCCAGGCACCTGAGAGAGGAGGCTGAGCTGGGCTGTCCTGCACCGGGCAGAGCGCCTGCCCTCCTCACCAACGCTCTCCCAGGGAGGGTGGCATGAAACTTAATCTGGGGCAGGTGGTGATGCTCCCAGGGGAAGTTGGCACCTGCTGAGACTCGGTGGCACCCAGGCGCTCAGGCCTTGGGCTGCAGGACTGCGGCTCAGCAAGTGTCCGCCTGAGCTCGGGTGGGTTTGACTCTCCAGGTCCTGCCTACGACCTGACGTTCTGTGAGGTCAGGGACTCCTCTCTGGTCCTGCTCTGGAAAGCCCCTGTGTACTCTGGCGGCAGCCCCATTTCAGGGTACTTTGTGGATTTCAAGGAAGAGGATGCTGGAGAATGGCTCACTGTAAACAAGACGACCACTGCACATCGTTACTTAAAGGTGATTCATGCACTGACTTGTCTGCTTCTGTGGGAACATGTTTGATCCCTGTAGCAAACTGGCCCTGAGCTCCAGGGTGGACATGTTCAGATAACTGGGCCTGCTTGGGGTATCTGGATGAGGGGGTCCCTTGCCCCCCCATGTCGATTTGTAGGACCCAGCGGGTAGCAGTGGGGACCTGTGTGGTGGTGCTGTTCCCCTGTCCACATGGAGCTTCACACCTGACTCTGGGGACTGCAGAGTGGCCTGTCCTTCCCGCCATGTGGCAGGGACAGCTGCTCACCACATTGCTCCTGTGTGTGTGTGTGTGTGTGTGTGTGTGTGGCTGTGCTTCCCATGGGCAGGACTAATATTTTATCATGTCCCACCACTTCTAGCCCTGCATTTAATTTACTCAATTCATGTGGTTATAGAAGTCCATCTGATTAACACACACACAGACATGCACAGTTCTGACACATTTGACAAAGTTACAATGTGTAATTTCTGTCTTCTTTGTCTCTGTATATTTCTATTTTTAGCACTTGTACCTTACCAGAGACTGTGTCACTTGTAACAGCTGTTTCAGGCCCAGTGGGCTGGGGTGCCCTGGCTAATTTGCCAGCTGCCTTAATCCAGAGGTTTTCTCCCTTCGGCTCCAGGCCCTGAGGTGCAGTTTACACTCCAGGGGTGCAAGGTGCAGCCTTACTCAGGCCCACAGCACACGCTGAGTGTGTGAATGGACAGTCCCTGAAGACCAGCGGATAATATGAGATAATTTCCTTTGAATCAGTCCCAGAGAATTATGTTAAATATGAACCCTAGATTATAGCTTAGTGGATATGATTTTTATTTGGCTTTAAAATATTCTAAAAGAAGAAAACAAGTCAGAGGAAAAATAGCGAAAGAGACTATAGCAAAATCGGTTTATTCCTGCAAAGTGAGATTGTGATTGTGAATTTTCCCCTCTCCTTTTCTAGTTTACTATGTATAGTTTTTGCAACAGAAAATATAAGTTATTCTAAAATGGATGCATAATACAATGTGAAAAATTACAGTCTTCCTCACTGCGTGTCCACACATATGGCATTTCATCAGGGGAAAACCTATGTCTGTGTTTCCAGGTCTGTGACCTTCATCAGGGGAAAACCTATGTCTTCAGGGTCCGTGCAGTGAACGCCAATGGTGTGGGGCGGCCGTCAGATATGTCGGAGCCAGTGCTTGTGGAGGCGAAGCCAGGTAGGGTCCAGGGTCCACACAGTCAGTGTCAGGAGCATGGGATGGTATGTGTCGGAGCCAGGAGTGCTGAGGCCTAGGCCAGGTAGGGTCCAGGGTCCACACAGTCAGTGTCAGGAGCATGGGATGGGTGTGGGATGTGTCGGAGCCAGGGGTGCTGAGGCCTAGGCCAGGTAGGGTCCAGGGTCCACACAGTCAGTGTCAGGAGCATGGGATGGGTGTGGGATGTGTTGGACTCAGGGGTTCTGGGGCCAAGACCAGGTAGGACTTTACCTTTTAGCGGCTCAAAATAGTAAAAGTTATGAAACAGCACTAACTCTGGGGAAGGTGTGCATATGGTCCGCACACGCGTGTGTATTTATGAGGGAGGATGAAGGGACATCTCAGGATTTGGGTCAAGTGTGCACTTCAGTCTCGGCCTGTGCATGGTGACCCCAAATTAGGTCATCATCATGGCTGGCAGGGATTGTTTTTGGAACGAAGAGTGCACAGGAAGGAGGTGCTTTTTATGTTAAAGGTATTTAAATCATAATATCATAAAGCTGTTAGTGATTTTCTTAGCATCCAGGCCAAAGTACCCTGAGGCAACCTTAGGAGGGGTGCTCTGGTAGAGGAGACAGGCTCACAGGACACACAGCTGGCTTTGTGTTTCAAAACAGAACCCCTGAGGATGGATAATTTATAAAGAAAAGTCTATTTCGCTCACGATTCTGAAGGCTGGGGAGTCCAGGAGACACTGTATCTGCTCAGCTTCTAGTGAGGGCCTTGCACTGGGCCACGGCAGGGAAGGGACCAAACCTGGAGGCAACACTCTTGCTCATTGCAACCAACTAGTTCAGTTTATCACCAAGAACTAACCCAGCCTGTTAAGAAAGATGTGAATCTGCCTGAACAATCTAAGCCACTCTCGGAGGCCCAGCCTACCCACCAGCAGACACTGGGATGTGTCTGGCCCAATTTCTAATTTTGTCCTGACTCCTGTTGGGCCAGGTGTTTACTGCGTGCCACCACATGGCTGTGGAGCCTTGGCCTCCTCTTAGGGTCAGGGAAACAGATCCCAGGCAGAACAGAGATCTTGAGGAGCAGGAGAGGCAGCCCCAGAAAGCCCCCTGCAGTCATACCAAATGCAGAAAAAGAAGGGCCAGAAATGTGATGAATTAAAAAAAAAAAATGCAACAACCAAGCCCCAAAGGTCTCCAGCATCTGTCTACTTCCTCGGGGGTTTTGCTCTTTCACGATCCTCAGGGTCAGTCTGGGTGGACGTTCAATGAAACTGATGATTCCACATAAAACGAGCTCTCTGCGGGGCCCATGCTCTCTCTCCAACAAAGAGCTCGAGGCCCACGGTGCTCCCAAGACGCTTACCCAATGCTCTCACTGTGCAGGCACCAAGGAAATCAGTGCTGGCGTGGACGAGGACGGCAACATCTACCTGAGCTTCCAGTGCCAGGAGATGACCGACGCCTCCCAGTTCTCCTGGTGTAGATCCTACGAGGAGATCACAGACGAGGCGCGGTTCCGCGTGGAGACCGTGGGGGACTGGTCAGTCAGGCCCAGAAGCTGCACGTCCTGAACCTTCAGAAACTCCTGCACGTGGAGAAAATTGACCTTCACCTTCTCCTCTTCCTTTTCAGTTCAAAGCTGTACTTGAAGAACCCAGATAAGGAAGATTTGGGGACTTACTCTGTGTCGGTGAGCGACACAGATGGTGTGTCCTCCAGCTTTGTTCTGGATGCGGAAGGTAGCGTCTGTGTGGCCCAGGCTTGTGGGAAAAGGTTTTCTCTTTCCAAGGTTGTCCCCATACTGGAAAGACTTATTTACATTGAGAACGATGTGCATTTGTGGGAGGCTGGCAGAGTATTTTCATAAGCCGGTAATTACTCTAGAAATTAAACTCTCAAGCTTGGGGTAAGCTTGGGGTATGAGGGGTAAGGCAGCCGCACCCCTTCTTACGGCACTGAATCAGAGATGGGCATGAACCCGGCATCACTGGGGAGTTCAAAATGATCGCTGAGACTGGGTGTGCTGCTTGTGCAGCCTCCAGCTTGCTCTTCTAAAGCTGAGTTTCAGATGCATTTTGACAGTCTAGCATTTGGGAAGCAATATACTCAAAAAAGAGTCCCCGCCGTCAGTGGCTCCTCCCCTCCCCTCTAGCACAGAGAGGCCGAGGACAGAAAAAAGCTGCCTTTCATGTGTGTGAAATAATGTTTAACTGCCAGAGCCAAAATCTCTTGCTCTTTTTACAAACAGAAGATAGCAAAGAGAAGTGAGAAATGTTTGTTTAGTATAATCCAGGGAAGAGGAAGAGTTTTCTTAGGTAACTTCACAGACCTGAGTTCCCCGAGGAAATGGGCTTGAGTCAAGTGAAGCCGGTGTTTAATAACCTGGGCTCCTGAGTATTTGCATGCCCTGATCCACCTGCCTTTAGGCCAGAGGCAGCCTCACCCCTTTTACAGCACTGAGTCAGAGATGGGCGTGAACTCCGCAGCACTGGGGAGACTCTCACTTCCTTGGGTTCCTCTGGGTCTTTAGGGCTTTTGAGTTTCTAAAAGTTTTCTATTAAAATGAAAAATCTCCTGAGAGGCCCCAAGTTTTACAAGCAAATCTTTTAGTTACCAGTTGGCATCTTGGTTGGCATCCGGGGTCCAGGGTGGGTGTCGAGGGTGGTGGGGGGACAGCACCTTTCCAGGGAGAGAGGGGACTCTGGGACCTTGCAGGTCTGGCTCCGAGTTGGCTAAATTCCAGTAAACTCATGCAAGTTTAACACGCCCGCAGCAGGAGAACAGATAAGGAAGTTTGCCCACATATAGTTTATTATGAACTAAAAAATGAAGCTAGACTTCTCAGTACTACAAGTAAACTCAGTTTGGCAAAGACTGACTTTCCCAGTCAGTTCCTCTGATTCACCCACAGACAGGGACAGGAGCAGCCTGAAATCTGCTGCAAGCTTTAAAGCTGCCTTTGCTGACCTGGGTGATCCTCTAGACCTTTTTTTTGAGACAGAGTCTCATTATGTCGCCCTGCATAGAGTGTTGTAGCGTCACAGCTCATAGCAACCTCAAACTTTTGGGCTTAAGCAATTCTCTTGCTTCAGCCTCCCAAGTAGGTGGGACTACCGGTGCCTGCCACAATGCCCACCTACTATTTTTTTTGGTTTTTGTTGTAGTTGTCATTGTTGTGTGTGGCTGGTGCCCTAACCACTGAGCTACAGGAGCCAAGCCATCTCTGGACCATTTTCCAGTTTACTATAAAAATTTCCTCTTCCTTTTAAATAGCAGCGAAGGATAAAATTTCCACCATATCTCATATTGCACGTAGACTTTAAACGTGTCTGAGGCAGAACCTTGGAGTTACAGTTATAGCTTCTTCTGTTTTTGGAAATTCCTGCCAGACGATCTGCTTGCTGTCAGACCCATTGCCACAGTGAGTTTCTTTTTGGCCAGGAGAAGTCTAACTTCACTTTTGTAGTTTAAGATAAAGGGGTCGTGACCTCTGTGACCACCACTGCATTTCTGAATTCTCATTTTCAGAAGGAAAGCAGGAGAAGCCAGGGGAAATGGCCTAGAGCTTCACGTTTTCTTACCGTGCTCTTGGGACTTTCTTGGGAGTGATACATTTTGGTTTTTTGGTTTCCTTTCCTTTTTTTTTCATGCTACAGTGATGGTATGAGAGGTATAAAATTGAAGAAGGAAATTTTGAAAGGGGAAGGAAAATCATGGACCACAGCACCTTCTCAACCAAATCAATTTTAGGAAAGAATTAGCATGGAATTAGAGGACTTGGAAAAGGCTCCCTTTAACCTCTCCTCTTCCAAGTCTTCCTACGTTCTGGGAATAGGCCTGCTTGTCTCTGCCCAGCTGTCCTCGTATTAACTGGGGTCTTTAACCGGTGAAGATCTTAGTTGTAGATGATGATAACAGTGTTATAATTTACCTGAGTTCTAGAGCCACCCTCTGTGTCCTTTTCCCTTTTAGTTCAAGTTTCTTTCATGTCCTCAGGTTAAATCCTGGTGTATAAAACCTTTGCTCTTTGTTTAGCTCTGCTATTGTCTGCAGACTTCTGAATGTACAGTTCAAAACCAGTGAAAATGTTTTTCCTTTATTTCAGAGCTTGAACGTTTGATGGTACTGAGCAATGAAATCAAGAATCCTAGTAAGTAACCCTCTGCTCCGGGTGTGCGGTGGTGGCCCGGCAATGAGCCGCTTGGGAAGGGGTGGTCTTAGGGGGTGTTTTGAATTTGGGGTGTAGCTGTTCCTAATCCAAGTGAGATGTCTACCAAATGATGTCATCTGTCGATGAACAGCACGGAGTACAGAGAGACACAGGCACCTCAGTCCTTGGCGCCTCCAGAAAGCTAACTCAGAGTTTACGTGGCCGGCAGGAGGCTTTAAATGCAACAACAAACTAACCAGAGTTTTAGTTTTTATTTTTAGTTTCCATAATCTAATACTCCAGGGTTTCACGTTCTCAAAAAATTTAATAACTAGGATTGATATTTTTCTGCAATATATATAGCTATTCTTTTTCACAGGATTCATGCATTATTGACCTGCGATTTCTTTTCTTCCTGTAGCAATCCCTCTGAAATCAGAATTAGCTTATGAGATTTTTGATAAGGGCCAGGTCCGCTTCTGGCTGCAGGCGGAGCACTTATCGCCTGACGCCAGCTACCGTTTCATTATTAATGACAGAGAAGTCTCTGACAGCGAGGTGAGTTCCTGTGTGAGTGAGCCCCGCTTTGCAGCAAGCCAGTTTTCCTTTTGGTAGGTCAGTTACTTACAGTCACTATTCTGTGTTAGTTTCCATCCCTTTTTGAGCTGTAAAAATTGGGGCGTAGAATGTCGACAAGATGAATGGAGATGGTTGCTTCTTGCAATGCTCGGAGATTTGGTCGGGGTTAGATAAGACATCAGCTGTCTTTCAACTCCAAGCCTGTTGAAATTAAAAAATGACAGATTATGGTTAGAGATTTTGAGCTTTCTTTTATCAAAAGGTTCAGGTTACATGGGGGGAAATATCCATGATGGATCAGTTCATTTATTCTTGATAATGGTTTTGAAGGCTTGTATTTTTTGCCCTTTTGTGAGGTGTTCCTCCTTGCGTCCCCCACCCCTGACAGCTCCCCAGGAAAGACGTCGGCTGGGGAATACATTTCTGTAACTTCCTTCTCCATTAGGCTTGGTGCGGTGAGCTGATCTGGACAGAGAAAAGGGCAGCTGTCAAACATGCATCTCACACCAGCTACAATCACTTTTACTTTTAATCAGATGAAGTGGCTCTCACAGTGATAGCCAGTGCACCTTCTCTGGCTGTGGGATATTGGTGAAGGCATCAGGTGCATTTCGGCGCTGTTCCTCTTGTTTAATGATGCACACCTGGGGACCCAGCTCTTTGACGGGGCATTTCCTTATTGTGCAGTGCCAGGGTTGGGGGGCTCTCAGTCCCACCGTCTTCACCCAGTGTGTCGATACTCTCAGGTGTCCTGCTAAGTCCTGAATGCTGCATCTGTTTGTGCTCAAATGCTACACGAAGTCATGGGAGGCAGGAGTCTCTTGTGCAGGCAGCCCATCTGCAATTATTCCGGGCTGGACCCTTGTCCTCAGCCCGCCCTTTGTGTCTGGTGGATATTTTCTAGAGCTTGACCAGTCAGAGGAAGGTCTGTCAAGAGTCTCGCCTGGATGAGGACCATGTGATTTCCTCCTCCAGCTGATCTTTCCCGTGAGAAGCAGATACACTTTAAGACTCCTGAGAAGGGGAGAGTCGGTTTAAAAAATAGAAAATACGTAGCTTCTTTCAGGCTACCAGAAACCCAACGCAGTAAGATTGTTGATGGAAGGGTACTGTCTGAGCAAGGAAATTGGAGCTATTTTCTTGAGCAGAGATCATGCAATGAAATGAGATGGAATTTAGTGTAATAGCACTTTATTTGCAGAATATTTTTGATTAACATTTCCCACCTGGTATATAGAGCTTGTTTTAAAAATGGGTGTCATCGCTGGCTGGCTAATCTCTCGGAATATGGCTGTACTATTTCACCTCTTTAATTAGCAATCCACAGGGACTTTCACATTCGGAGATTGATGCTATTTTGTGGAAGTCATGGAAAAGCCTGTATTTATGGCACTCGTAAAGCCATTGAACTTCACCTTGCTGCATAAATGGCTATAGCAAGAGGACTAATTATTTTCTGAAACCTGCCCAGACACTGCAGAGCAGCAGCTGAGAAAACTGAAAAGGCTTTTGTGTTGTCGAGAATCTGATCAGTGCGAATCATACCTTTTAATTTCTCAGAGCAAGTCCCCATCCTTCCCTACTTACAGATATTTACAGTGAGCATAACTTCCTTCAACTAGGGACCCTGCATTTGTCTGATCAACTTGAAATTTACCCTTGATATTCAAAAGCTAATATGTGAAACTATAAAGAAGTCCCAGGAGAAAGAGGGGTTGCATTCCTGGACCTCATCTTCCCAGTCCTGCTCATGGTGCTTCCACGGATGGGGACCAAGTGCCAGACGTGCTTCGTGTGATCAGTGTCAGGGGACGTCCTCTGCATGGTCACTGCCTCCAGACACACCTCACATTTGAATGTGGTCCTGCTACCTCCAGGACTCTGTTCAATGTCAGATGCTGTCCCATCCAGGGGTGGCCTGAAATACTGTCCTCTGGCTCCGTGGGAGCCAGGGTGGTAAGGGTGTGAAGATCACTTCATTGCTGCTGCCCACACGGGGCTTCACCAGCTGGCGAGATGTTGTAATGCATATGTTTTTATTCTCTCCCATGCATTTTAGTCCTTTTGCATCAGAAACCCATTCTTGGTAACTTGTGGCCTTTCTGCTGAGGAGGTACCCATGGTGGTTCACACTTCCAGTGGAACCTGGACAGAACAGGAAGCTGGTACCCCTGGCTTGATCCTGGGGTCACATAGAGGTTTCCTGCACAGAGTGTTGTGTTTCTTTGTGCCACTGTAATGGTTGATGCGATGATGAATTGTGGAGAGAAACTGGAAGGGGTTTCACTGTGCGATTGTCTGTCTCCCTTACTGCTTCCAGGCACACAGAATTAAATGTGACAAAGCCACGGGCATTATTGAGATGGTAATGGATCGATTTTCCATCGAGAACGAGGGCACCTACACCGTGCAGATTCATGATGGGAAAGCCAAGAGCCAGTCTTCTCTGGTTCTGATTGGCGACGGTACGCCTTATGGAGTATTTTTATGTGTCCATGAAAGATAACTCAAAGGAATTTGTTTTGACTGGAGAGAAGCAAGCATATTTCATACATTCTTTTTCTCTTAAATATTGAATTTAGCATTCAGGGCTGTCCTAGATGAAGCTGAATTTCAAAGAAAGGAATTTCTCAGGAAGCAAGGTGAGTAGCTGACTTGCTGGCCTACCATTGGCACAAAACAAAGACTTGTGACTTGAGTGCGTGTCTAAAGTGGATGCTCCGTAATGCCTTGCACGCTGCAGGTGTCTAAAATGACCAAGAAATTAGGTCATTGCTTAACTAGAAATGTGGGTCCTTTCCTGCTCTTTACGTGTGTTTTGTCTGTATTATTTTTTTCTTTCACCTTTCAAAGCCCTAGACTCTACTGTGTAATTTTCCCATTCCCCGCAATCATCCTGTCAAGGAAGTGGTCCCTCTGACTCTTCTGTGCTGACCTGCTGGCCCATCAGAGCATCCCTTCTGGACCCTGCAGGGAGACAATTGTCCCTAAACACTCCTTGTTGTAGGCACTCCATTTTTCAAAACACTTGGAGAACTCCAGGTGTCATGTAGATAAAAGGGACTTCCTTCCCCACTGTGCTCAGAACAGCTCCCTGGCCAAGCTGGCCTCCCTGACCTGTGGTCTCAGAGGCCTGGAAATATCTCAGTTTCAGACTGCATGGCTGTTTTCTTCTGCCAAAAATGCCTTGTATAAACAGTTAAGACTTACATCCATATCCACACACCCCATACATATATGTACATAAAATGTCATATGTATTTATTTATTTTACCTCTTTTTTACTTTTTAAAAATTGCTTTTCCTTTTTTCCTCCGTAGGCCCCCATTTTGCTGAGTATCTGCACTGGGATATCACGGAAGAATGTGAAGTTCGCCTGGTCTGTAAGGTGAGAGATGCGGTTCTAACAAGGAACAGTAAGATCCTCGGTCTTGGTCCTGCCCGCGAGGCCTTTCAGGGAAGCCGCTGCAGTGTGACTCCAAGCTGAGGGCAGAACCTTAAGGTGCGAAGAGACAGGGACCCTCTTGGAGGTCAGCACTTGTGATTTCTCCCTCTGAGGGGAGCACGTGTGTGGCACAGGCCACACAGAGGCTGAGGACACCCTCAGAAGGTGAGTCAATGCACCCAGGAGAAAGGAGGTGGGAGCCCGTCTGGGGTGCTGCCACGTGACTTCTTCGGGAAGTGAAAGGTACGCTTTGGGAACAAAAGCTTTTCAGTTTTGTTGAACAATTTGGTAATAAAACAAGCTTTAATTATTACTCAGTGTGAAAATCTGTATTTTAAGCAACAAACCTTTGCTTTGCTGAGTACCTGCCACGTGACTGCCCTGAGCAGGAAGCGGGGGCAGGAAGGTTGCTGGGGCTCTTTTTTTTTTTTTTTTTTTTTTGAGATATGGTCTGACTGTGTCGCCCTTGGTAGAGTGCTGTGGCGTCACAGCTCACAGCAACCTCAGACTCCTGGGCTTAAGCGATTCTCTTGCCTCAGCCTCCCAAGTAGCTGGGACTACAGGCGCCCACCAGAACGTCTGGCTATTTTTTATTGCAGTTGCCATTGTTGTTTAGCTGGCCGGGCAGGTTTCCAACCCACCAGCCTCGGTGTATGTGGCTGGCACCGTGACCATTGTGCTACGGTGCTGAGCCTTGCCGGGGCTCTTGATGGTGCACCATCTCTGACCCTCAACCACTTACAGTGCGGTGGGTAAGAGAGGATGGAAACAGGAGAGGTCACTAACGCGTGAGTCCTGAGCTGGGCGTGTGGAGATGACCACGGGCCACGCAGGTCAGCAAGGGCAGAATGACCGTTCCAGGGAGACCGGTGGCAGGAACAGGAAGGTGAACTGTGGCTTCAATGGCCACGGGGCCCGGCTCCTAGTTCATGTATTTTACACAGTAAAGCAGCACAAGGCTGGCAGGACAGGTGAGGCTGGACACCAGGCTGTTTCGCAGCAGGACCTGGACAGCTGCGGCCTGTGGGTGAGGAGAGCTGAAAGGGCTCCGGACTCAGAGGGGCTGCTCAGCTGGTGAGGCAGGAGAGGCGGGGGCCGCCTGGTGGGAGGAGTTGGAGGTGGCGGCCGCTCCGTCGGGGCAGAGGTCAAGTGCATAGAGCAGGACGGGCTAAACTAACACTAGGAGCTAAACCTGACAGGAGCAGGCAAGAAACTGGGTGTGGGTGAGGGAAGCATCCTGGACGACCCTCACGGCGGGCTTGGTAGGTGGGTAGATGCAGCACAGCTTGGAATTAGCACTGCAGTGGGAGGCCCAAGCTTCAGGATTTTGAAGGTAAATTCCTCTTTGGAAAGATTTAGTTATATCCCCGGAGTTGGCAATAAGATGTGACCAGCTCACAGCTGGACACAGGAGCCAGGCCATGTGATGGGAAAGTATCTATGTGGCTGTACAGATTCATGAAATGTCATGGTACATGTGGCCATGAGAAGGGTGGCCATGAGAAGGATGCCCAGTGCCCCAGGACAACTTTTGAGCAGAAAGGATGGGAAATGGGGGAGTTTGGGGAAACTGCAGGTTGTCATCATAGCAGATGAAGGAAGCTCAGGGGTTACAAAAAAGAAAGTGTCAGAGAGTAAGAGGGGTAAATAAGAGGGTGACTGTGTGTGTGGGGGGGGTGAGAACACCAGAGCCACGTGTCACAGGCCGAGGCCCCTGGGCTCTCAGCAGGGTGGCAGCCCCTCCTGCTGCTCAGAGGCACTGGTCACAGTCTGCATTGGGTGGGCTGGAAAGACGGGCCCAGTGCACCCCAAGATGTGCTGCTGGCAGTGAGGGAATGAGGATATCATGGCTGGCTCCCCTGCTTTTCAGATGGGACCTTCAACCCCAGTTAGTGGCTGAGGGGACACACAGAAGTTGTAGGTAAAGGTGAAGGGAGAGGGAGGAAGGATGGGGTGCACAGATCCAAGGGACATGGTGTGTGCGAGGGGGCAGTGGTGCCAGGGGCCCGTGGGAGGAAAGCTCCCCAGCAGCACTGCATAGGGTGTGTGAAGCCAGGGAAGAGCTGGTGAAAAACACATCAGTGCTGTCTGTTGGAGTCGGACTGTCCCTGGAGTGAGTCCAGGGTACTGAAGGTGGCCACATAGTGGACAGCGCTGGCTGCAGTCGCATGGAAGGGCACGGGGCAGGCTCTCATTACTGAGAATATAAATGGCTGTCCCCACTGGAATCCAATGTGCAGACAACCAGAGTGGCCCAGACATATGCATTAGGGCTGCTTCTCCCAGACGTGCTTGGTGCTCTTGCTATGAGTGGTGGGGAGATGCACTGGGGGCTTTGGATCTCATCAAGGGCAGGCTAGATGGTCATCCTGCTAAGGTGAGCAGGGAGGGAGGTGAGGCTAGACGGGGAAAGGGGAAAGGTCCCCACTGGGCGGGAGGCTGGCACACAGGGACCAGAGGTAAGGGTGTCCAGCACCTGTGATGACTGGCCCAAGGTGAGTGCATTGGGGGTGCGCATCAGGTGAGGGCTCTGCAGTGAGGAGGAGGGAGCTGGGCTTGTGGGGAGGACCTCAGCCATGTGCTAATGGGGTGCCTGGGCCACGGTCCCCAAGGGTGGGACCAGGGAGTGCTGGAAAGCCCTGGGCAGGTGCCAGCTGGGTCTAAGGAATTCTCATGACTGAGTCGGCCTTTCTCGCTAGTCCCCTGACAAGTGCCAGTGTTGGTAATTAATTCATAATCAGATTTCCTGTCTACACATCTCTTAGTGATAACGAGAGCTAAAGTTTTGATATTTAACATGTACAATATTATCATTAATTTACTGTAGAGAAATTACCTTAGATTTATTTTTAATAGTGAGTTTCTTTTGCTAATAGTGAGTTTCTTTTAAAAGGAAGACTGAGAGATGAAAATATTTATAGGAAGAGAAGTTTTCTTTCAAAAAAGCTGCAAAGGAGAGGAATATCAGCAAATAAGAAAATTCATAAACATTTGAGGGGCAGAAACCCACTGGTTTACTAAGCTTGGATGTTGTGTGGCCTGGTTATGTTGGGAAAACAGCAGTTTTCTTAAATGATTAGTGTGTACACAAAAAGGTACACACTAGGTTATCAGCTACCTGGAGCCTGGAATGAGGGGGCAGCTGTGTGCCAGGAGGTCCGTTGTCCCTTTTCCAACCCTGACACCCCCAAGGCTGATGGCAAAGAATACAGTTCTGCGTCCCCAAGTGCTCTGACATCACCTCCGTATAATGTAAACATCTATAAATATTTACAAGTATTTTAGATTTTCCAGCTAACATGACTCATAAATCTTTAAACATAGATACTGGAGAAACTAAATAAAAAGAACTTGAGATTTGAGTATTTTGCAATTTAATGCACTAAATTTACATACTTGCGTCCCTGTCAATCCTGCGATTCTGTAAACCATTTTTTCCTACATAATACTGTAGCAGATGGTTATTTTAAGATTTATTTACTGAAGATATGTTTGTGCTTGGTGGTATGCTTAGGGTAAAGCTGCCATATTATGCTTTGCAGAAAACCATTTTTCAAAAGAAAGGTTTAAGATAGGAGAAACTTCAATCATAAACAGGAAAAAACACGTTAAAAATGTCTCACATGCACAAGTGGTGTGTTAGAGAGGGTTGGCTCTTAGGAAGTCTGGGCCAGGAGGTCTAAGGAGTAACCTTGTGATCTTTTCTGGATACTTATGTACATTTTAGGCACCCAGATTTTAAAGAGTGGCAGAGAGAAGTTGAAGGAGTTCAGAGAAGAGACCAATGAGTCATTTAAGGGATAAGAACCCCCACTTACAAGACAAATTAATTAACTAAACATGTTTGTTTTGGAAAACAGCTTTTGAAGCCCACTGGGAAGGCTTTTATTTAGTACTCAAAGGCTAATAGTATAGACTGTGTTTGAGAAGGGAATAAAGGGAATGGTATTTCATTGAGAGGAGTAAGAAACTGGATCAGCTCTGAAGATGGACACCAAGGAAGATTCAGAAACGTCAGGAGAGATGAAATCTGCAAGGATTTCTCCAGGAGCGGTTCTGGCTCCGGAAGGAAGGTCTTTCCTTCCAGCCAGAGGGATGCACTCCTGCCACGTATCCCAGAGACATTTATGGGATAACACCTTCGCTCCAGGCTGGCTGCCGTGCACCGCTTGGGGGGGTGGGGGTGGGGGGTGGGCAGGTGTTAGCAAAACAGACCAAATCCCGGCATCGTGGATTCTGCCTTCTAGTGTTGTCAGGGATGCTGCCAATTCCCGCCGAGGACAGGAAATTCTAAGATGTGCTGCACGACTACCCAGCAGAACTAATCACACTGTCTAATCCCTTGTGACTTTTTGTCATTGAAATCACTTTTGTTACATTCCTGTGGGTTGTGAATGCAGAGTTGTCTTCTCCTATAATCCGACATGATCCACACACTGCGTTACACAGAATCAGAATCCCTCCTCATTCCTAAGACGCGTGCCTCAGAGCATGTGAATGGGCACGCCTTCCCATCTTCAGAATGCCGAAAAGCCTAGTTTTGAGTTCAAGCCAATGCCAGGGATTGAATTGTGAGAAATTTCAGTAAAGGGCAAGTTCCAACCTCCAGTGGGCTTTCTTGATAAGGTTTCATTTCCTTTGCGTCCATGCACCAGAAATGTCATATTGTCAAAACCATAGCTGCTAGACAGTTTTACAGAGCTCAGAGAACATTCTATATTATTTGTAAATCCCCCAATACATTGCTTATGACTTGTCTGTATTAGCGACATTTCATATAAATGAAAAGATCTTTATGCCTCTAATTTCATAAACTGAGAATCAGCCAGCCTTCCCTGTGCACCTGTGAGGGCTTAATTATTGTAGATTCTGGGACTGAGAGAGGTATTTACCATTATTGGGAGTGACAGCTTTTCCGTGAACCTCTGTCTGACCCTGCCTACGGTAATAATTGATTTTATTTTAGGTCTGTGATTTAAAATACTAATAGACTTTTTTCTTATGAGCCAGAGGGATTCACATAATAAACGTTAGATTTCTGTCTCACAGGTTGCAAACACCAAGAAAGAAACTGTTTTCAAATGGCTCAAAGATGATGTTCTGTATGAAACGGAAGTGCCAGACCTGCAGAAGGGGGTCTGTGAGCTGCTTATACCCAAGGTATCATGCGTTAAATAAAACCAGACAGAAGCTGAGCAAAAAGCACCCCTTTCAAAGAACTTGTAAATAAGTTCTGCATTCTTCTAATTTGCATCCTGAGTTTTGATGATTTGCATAGAAATTATATTAACATTTATTGTGCTTTATATTGGGGGTACTGATTTTACATAAATACGTGATGTGTTTTGTCTGTAGTTGTCAAAGAAGGACCACGGTGAATACAAAGCCACCTTGAAGGACGAGAGAGGCCAGGATGCGTCTGTCCTGGAAATCGCTGGCAAAGGTAACAGGACATCTTTGTTCTATTGAAAGGAAACCCATTTTGCCAATAGGATGGGACCATTCACCACCTTGGATGGTACCAAATTCCCTGTACTCTCAGCTGATGGGATCATTCACCTGTAGCCTCAGCTGATGGGATCATTCACCTGTGCCCTCAGCTGATGGGACCATTCACCTGTGCCCTCAGCTGATGGGACCATTCACCTGTGCCCTCAGCTGATGGGACCATTCACC